AGAATTATTTGAAAGTCGAGTCGTGCTTGTCGGAGAAACATTTGAATGTCGAGTCGTGCTTGTCGGAGAAACATTTGAAAGTCGAGTCGTACTTGTCGGAGAAACATTTGAAAGTCGACTCGTGCTTGTCGGAGAAACATTTGAAAGTCGAGTCGTTCTTGTCGGAGGAACATTTGAAAATCGAGTCGTGCTTGTCTGAGAAACATTTGAAAGTCGAGTCGTGCTTGTCGGAAACGTTTGAAATTTGAGTCTGCTTATCGGAGAAAATTTGGAAAGTAGAGTCGTGTTTGTCGAAGAAACATTTGAAAGTCGAGCTAAGCTTGTCGGAGAAACATTTGAAGGTCGAGCAGTGCTTGTCGTGCTTATCCGAGAATTAAGCTGTTGAAAGTTGATTTGTGCTTGTCTGGGATTTTTTTTTAAATCGAGCTAAGACGTCCTTTTGAAGTCATTTCGTGCTTTTTTGAAAAGTTGTTGAAAGTCGAGCAGTGTTTGTCTGGAACCCATTCTGAAAGTCACGCGCTGGCGACAACTAATATCTTTCGTGCTTATTTCTTAAATTTGGAAAAAATATGTAAAATATCTAAACTGAATGACTTAATTCCTATGATAAAATAGGGGTAAATTTTATAAAAATTTGAGAAAAAAAAAATCAATGCACTTTATATAAATTAATTTTTAAACAAAAGGATAGACTTAATTCTTTTAAGTGTTCATACACACTGCATAAGATCTAATAAATGTATTTTCAGTAATGTAATGTAACACAAATATATTAATTTATTGACTATGTATCCTAGTAAAGGAAGTCATATACTAGTGTCCCGTCAATCATATTATCGCTGTACTTTCCGAATTGTTCTAATTATTAAATATTTTGTACATTTCCTTAACAAGTGCAGTTAAAGTTCAATTAATGTTAATGAACGAAATATACGTGCGGGGTCTTCTTTTCTTTTATGTTTTATTTACTATTATTGACTTTTTTGTTTTGTTCATTTATTTTTTAATTATTATTATTATTATTTTTGCTTAGTTTATTGTATATACGAGATTACTATTTTTCGGGTGTTTGCCACTTTTCCTTCTTGTCCGATTTTCTCTCTATTTCTCGAACACAATACCGGAATTTATCTGTGTACTGTATTTAATTTTTTTATGTAATTTATTCAAAATCAGCTGCCTTCCGTAAGAAGTTTAAAAATGTTGATTTTTTCCCCCTGACGTCAATGACTTTTGAGTATTTTATAGATTAGAGGTAGTATTTTAAATTGATTCAATTTCTTATACAACAAGGTGTAATAATCCAAAGTTCAAAGATAAAATCTTGACTGAACATTTAACTTTAGAAATCTATTAAATTTTTTTTATAAGCCAGCTCTATTTTATTATGCACACACGCGTTTACTAAGGGAATAAAATGGTTTTAAATTTTTAAAATAAGAAAATAATAATATCAATAAAAACCTATTCCCAAAACATTTTTGGTATTTAAAAAGTGATGCAACACTTCACGATTGATAAATTATCACCAGCCTTTTAACATACGCTCAAATAAAATAAAATCAATCAAACAATCAAACAAGCAAAAAACAAAAATAAAAACAAAGCAAAAAATAAATTTTCTTTAAAAAATTCAAAAAGAAACAAAATGAAGCCATACATTTAAAAAAAAAAAGAGAAGGCACAAGAAGAAAAAAAAATTGTTGTTGTTGTTGATAAATTCCACCAAATCAATTTGCAGTTTAAAATTTAACCAACTTACCGAACATACTCCAAAAGTTGAATATCCTCCTTGCCCGTGGGTGAAGCATACCAGTAGAAAAGTTAGAAACAGGGAGAATTCACGTGCAGTCCCCTCCATAAATGCAAGCATGCTCATTGTCACAAATTGTACTTTAAACAAGCGATCCTATACGATAGTAAAAGCGTGTAGGTTGTCTTTTTCCCTTGGCAGATTTAACTTAAATAGGACATGAGCGTACTATATACACTTATGAGCGCAATGATTTCAAGTGATTTACATATTTATGAATGAATGAACTTTCGCAGTCGTCCGTGATCAAAAATGCGTAGTTAGCTACTCCAAAATTTCGGGAAAATAAACTTGCGGTTTTTATCACCTGGAATGGGTACCTGTATTGATTTAACATTAAATAAATATTAAATTGGCGCTTTGAGAAAACGCATCCGCATGCCATATGAACCAAGCGTTGTGCTGGATCTGTTCGTTAAAAAGAAAAATGTTACGTGAAAAATGTTTAACCTTTACGATAAAACTCGCTCCGATAAGCCTTGAAATTTATAATATTTTTTGAAAAATATACCTGAGTGTTTATATTAAGGGAAAAGTACTTTGGGATCATATTTCGACGCAAAGTATTTTAGAATAATGGGTTTTAGATCATGTTTGACCACAACATTTACAAAAAAACCGGGACTTGTAACTATTAACTAATTCGTTTAGCTTTAACTGATACACTTTCACAATGAAGTACTTATCTATTCGTAAAGTTAGGCATTGTCAAAAAGCATACACAATAGCTTATTAAACTTAAACCTATAACGCCTTGGTCAGTCAACCTAACGAAGAAAACAATTAGCTGATAATGCACCTCACTGCCTTAACTCACTTTATTACAATAAATGACTCGACTCGCTCAATCCTTAATTACTGGCATTGCATTAATTAATCTCCGCCAGTCATATTTTTGAGTAAAGCTAAAATAAAGAGGCCTTTGACATATTATTCTCCGAGGTCTGGATTTTTAAAAATCTTAACAGCCATTTCTCTGTAACTAACCTGACGTGATGTGGGCGAATACTTGAAAGTGAATCATTTTTCCGTCCTATATTTAACTTTTTTTATTTTAACAGCCCAAACATGTCAAAGGTTATCTGTAAAAAAAAAAAAAATGCACGAGCTCTGCATAGTTGTAAAACGTGCACACTGCAATACAAATCCTTTTAAAGGTCGGGCGACACGTTTCTCAACAATATGTTTTTTATACCCCCACAACCGAAGATTCGGAGATATATAGTTTTTGTCCTGTCCGTCCGTCTGCTTCTCTGCAAAGCTATGGCTGTCATTTTTCACAGGTGTATTCCTCGTGACAAGACCTTTTTTAAGGTACCACCAAATTTGACCTCTTGACCTTGGAATTTGACCCAATTACTGAAAAAACCATAACTTTTGTGCAGTTGGTGCTGGGCTTTCATACTTCATTCATATATTCATTGGGACAAAACCTTTTAATCCATATTAATATTGACCTTGACCATAGAGCATGACCCACTTAAAAAAACAAACTTTTGAACATTTAGAACTAGGACTTTCATACTCCACAGGTGTATTTCTTGTGAACAAGACCTTCCGTGGGATACCAAAATTTTTACCTGTTAACACTGACCGAGTTTAACTTGCATGTATGAAGCTTCAATCCTCGCTATAAGCTGCCAAACGGGGGCATCAGTGTTTCACAAACACATCTTCTTTTCTAAGAATTTGTCATTGAAGTATTTCTACTCATAATAAATAGCGATACCAAATATGATGCATTTGGTAAAGATTTCACAAGATGTTATTTACCGTAAATTATTTAATTACATTTTATGAATTACTATATTATATTTAATATTATAAAGGTAAGTCACTAGCATTGTCAATATAACAATATTTTGTGTTTTTATAAACAAAGACATTTTGAAAACAATTTAAAAATTTGAAAATATGGGGGTGGATTTCTGAACACTTCAAAATGATATAAACAGAATTCAGTAATAAATCCTTCTCAATAAATGTCTTAAAATATTTCACATTTGAACATCATTTTTCATTTATGTACTAAAAACTTTTTCTAAAACTCATAAATCTTATTCTTTTCAAAACTTCCTTCTTTATTGTATTTATACAGACATGAGTTATACTGCTCGATCAATATCTGTAATGTCATCAGATTTTAAGTGGGAGCGTGGTGACATTTTTTAAGAAGGGTATTTCTTGTAATCAACCAGGTTTACTTTTGAGGCAATATTGACTCTTTGTCCAAAAATAGAATCAAATATCAACATAAAAAAACCCTCTTTAAGATAAAATCTCTCCTCATAAGATATGACAATTATAAAACCAGTGGTTATCATTTGATCTCTGCATCACTGTAGGATATTCCCAGAATTTCTATGAAATATAAATTTAGCTCTGTAGGAATTTTTTAAGTATTCCCAATTCTGATCAGGAGAGTTTCACCTACATGAATATACCCTAAACAAGGTCTTTGTTTTTTTTGAAAGAAGTACTTTTTGAACCAAGTCTTTATTGGTGAAACTTTAAAGTGATGTTTTTAACTATCTTCTCCAATAATCAATGACTCTGCAACCAATTACTAAGGATGAGTTGTTTTTAAAGAGTCAGTTATTTTTCAATAATGAATAACAAAGATGAGATCACCCAAACTCTTTGTTTTTAAATTAAACATGATAATAAACAATATCAAAGGGACCATGTGACTTTTTAAAATGACAAATCAAACAAAACACAATCAAGCCTTATAAATTACACATTTTATTTGAAAGACAGTTAAGAATGAATATCATTTTTTCATCCTAGCTTAATTAACACACTTCACTACTTTTATCAATAAAATAAAGAGCATTCATAATTTCATGACTCAGTTAAAAAGTCCACTGTGTCAGTGAAAATCAAAAGGGATAACATGTATAAGGGTGGGCAGATAATATTAATATAGCTACTCCCAAAAAATGAAAATTATTTTATTGCGAGAAGTGAAAAGCCATAGCCCATATGGATTTAGACTATGCCTGTCCACTTCCAAAAATGTAAGGAATTTCTCTCAAAATTCTTATTCTCTACTTTGCTTTTTAATTTTTACAGCATGAAAATTTGTATTTACATCAGGGAATAATTTCAGACAGTATTTATGATGAAAACATAATTATCTGGATTCAAACCCCCCCCTTTTCTCCTACATTTTTTCACTGAAATCTTTCTCAAGATAATTGCCTGTCTTCTTAATTTGAACTTTTCCGTCATGTGTCGGCCTTCAACTGTGTCCCTGATAAAACCACTTTTTCTCCGGGCTTGAAGGCAGGCATTCCCAGGTATGGACAACTGGCACAGCGAAATGCATCCCCCAGATAACACTGCAATAGAGGAAACCCACACTTGACATGGCATACCTGCTATAGAGGACTGAGTCATATCGCACTTGACCTTGTCAATATTGCATGAAGTGGATATTCATGCACATGAATGGAAACAGAAGAATTATTGCCTTGTTTAATTGAAGAACTTGGAACAAAGTACCTACTTTTTTTGGTGTATTTTAAGTTGAATGGTGTGTGAAAATCAAGTATAACATTTATATAAGGCCATTTATCTAATGTTTCTTTTTTTTTTTTTTGGTTATTCAAATTTTAGTTTCAAATGAAAGATATAAAATTTGATAAATCATGTAACTGAAATAATGAAAAAGAATGTGTTTCTATTAAAAGATTTGGCCCCACAGCAAAGAACCAGTAAATTAGATTGAAAGAACTTGAATCACCTGTAATCATATAAAATTGAACTTAACTTCAAAGTTTAAACATCTGTTACCATATAATGGCTTCTTGTTTACATGATAAAAATGTGTAAAATTATAAAGAATTTGACCTCACACATAGCCAATCCTTACAAGATTTATGCAGAAAACAAAAACAAAGAGAAACTTCAGACTAACAGAAACCTTTTAAAGGCTTGACAGGTGGGTATCAAGTAATATTGAACAGATACTGTAATTTGTAAACTGAAATTCAGATTAGTTATACCTCATTGGAAGGGGTGGTTTGATTATGAAAATGTCCTGTACACATCAGGACAGAATTTAGAAAGGAAGAGGCCCATGGGTCACAGTGCTCACCTGAGCATATATGCCAGTCAGGGCTGATGGCCCACAATGCTTACCGAGTAACTTTGGCCCTGCTATCTTTCACCAGATTTCCCCCCTTGTAATACCTATTGTGGCCCCCATCTCCTCCCTGGGGTCATTATATGACCTTTCATGGCTTTTCTATTCTTGAAATAAGAATTTCCCTCTGTATATCTATGTACATCCTCGCAATGTCAAGGGTTTGTGATTTCTCAAACTCCACACACTTGTGTGGATGTTTTCAGGTTACTAGGATCAAACATGGCAGTGCTTTTCTTGAAAAGATTTTTATGCCCCTGTAAACTAAGTTTCGGGGGTATAAAGTAATCCTTCATCCCAATTGTTGTACTACCCTACTTTGGAAAGGGAGGGGGTGTCATGACTTAAAGTTACACTATCTGTGGATGTTTTCAGGTTATTTTGATCAAACATGGCATTGCTTTTCTTGAGAAGATTTTTTAAATAAGTATTTCTATGTAAAACTTTGATCCCACATTGCGGTCCCTCCCTACCCCAAGGTCATGACTTGAAACTTCCACCACAGTATCAAACTTTCTGTTCCAGTGGTTCTTTCTATTAAAAGATTATCAAAAGATGCCATTTATTTTTTTCATTAATTCATACACCCTTCGTGGCTCCATTCTAGTCCTGTAGGTCATGTTTGAACAAACTTGAATCTCCACAACCTGAGGGTGCTTCAATATGGTTAATGAGAGATTTTTAAAAGACACCATTTCATTTTTACTTATTCTTTGTACCTTCCTATGAGTTAGATTATTGATCTTCATTTGAATCCCCTTTACAAAAGGGCAAGTTTACAATGAAACTGGACTTCTGGTTCTGGAGAAAAAGTCAAAATTGTTAAAAGTATAATGACGACCTGATTAATTTATGTGATCAGAAAAGCAGCTCATGTGAGCAATAAGAAATAATAATAAAATCAAAAGCCTGAAAGGCTTCAATGGCATCAAACAAGAAAAACAATTTCAAAAGATCTGAAGATAGGTCAAGTGAGTGACTCCGGTAACATAATAATAAAATAAAAAATAGTTTTAACACAAATACAGTCTAGAGCCTTATGCCCTGGTCCGAATGAAGCAAGGTTCGAATTGACAAGACGTTGTCAGAAATGTTCACGCTCAATATCAATCTAATTTCTTTTCCTATGAAGGGTTTCATAAATTTATATATTATTCTTTCTAATTGCCATGTCAGGGCGTTGTTCTGCAGTATAAACACATTGCATAAGTATTTCTAAACTACAACCATGATTTGAAACTTCCACCACAATATCAAACTTTTTGTTCCAGTGGTTCTTTCTATTAAAAAGATTATTAAAAGATGCCATTTATTTTTTCATTAATTCAGGGCGCGGTAAACAAATGGAGGAAATGGTTATTGAGTACATTAATTTTTACTGGCATTTTTTGTACTGGTCAATATGTGGTTGTTCATTTGATAAAATTGGAGGTTGAAATTAGATTGTAAAAGTAAAACTGTTAAAAGTATTGACTGAAATTCAATATTTATAGTCTTGTAGCATTCATGTTTATTGTGTAACTATTTTACCATCTTAAAAATAAGGTTGTTTGTATTTTTATGCTTTTTTAATTAAACAAAGCATTTACAAAATGTTATACCATGAATTCGTTGAAATCGCACAATCAGGAATTACCATTCCCGATCTCATTTGTTTTTCTCTATACATGATTACATCATCAACAACCATAACGTTTTTCTTAATGTGTATAAACTGATGATCACAAAATGTTTAATATCGGTTTTTTTTGGTAGTAGAATTAATTGAAGATACAATTGACGTAATTTCATATTCAAGCTATTATTCATTGTGAACGTTTTAAAAGAAATTGGTTTACAGCTATTTTCTATTGCGGATGCATCCACTGACACATTCGGTCGCATAAATCTGACCAACACTAGATGACGATCGAGCTTCGCTCGACGCCATAAAAAACCAAAACAAATATCATATCCATTTAATTCTAAATACCCTGTTATTCAATTCAATCAAGTGATGGAGGAAATTACCCATTACTTAATATTTTCATGTTAAAAAGGGATTGGTCCATTGTTTAGCATCTCTGGGTATTTGAAAAGATTATATGACTTAAATACATGTATTAAAAATAAAATACAAGGAAGACTGTGTATCACCTGTTATATCTTACTATTTATACATGTTTATATTTTCCATTCTACAAGGATTGGTTAGCTTGCGGGAATTTCCGAAATGTCATTTGATCTGAATTGGAATCTGTGAAACAAACACTGCTCTGTGTTTATAGCAGAAACCAGGTGTGAGAAGTGCACAGACATAAATTGTTCAATTAATATAAAGATTACTTACAATAATATAATATTTATTAAGTATAGACAATGAGGAACTTAAGCAAATAAACAAATTTAATGGTAAACAAGAGGCCCATGGGCCACATCACTCACCTGAGTAACCTTGGCATTCAGTTCTTTAAAAGATTTTCCCCCTTTTAATATCTTTTGTGACCCTAGCCTACACCCAGGGTTGTGAATTAGACAATTTAGAATAGAATAGACACTGGATGTTTCCACATATGTTTCAGCTTTCCTGGCCCAGTGGTTCTTGAGAAGAAGATTTTTCCTACATAATTCAATGTAACACTTGGATTTTCTATTGTGGTGGCACCCTACCCAGAGGGTGTCATGATTTGAACATTTTAGAATCCACACAATCCCCTGGCTGCTTCCACGTAAGTTTCAGCTTTCCTGGTCCAGTGGTTCTGAGAAGATTTTTTAATGAGTCCCCAACCTTTTTTTGTCTTATCTTGATTATCTCCCTTTGGAGAGGGACTTGACCCTTCATTTTACCAATTCACCCTTCACCCAAGGATGCTTTGTAATAAGTTTGGTTAAAATTGGCCCAGTGCTTTTTGAGAAGTTGAAAATGTGGTAAGTTTACAGCTAGACAGACGGACAGGTAGAAGGAGGGATGGGCATTGGACAAAGGGTGATAAGCTTTATTCCTTTAAGCTCAGGTGAGTTAAAAAAAAATGTTCAGTCACAGGAATGACTCAGGTGACCTAAAAATGTACTTTTTGTGAATTGTGGCTCGATGGGACACTGCTATTTAACTGATACTCACACTTCCACAGGCTGATGTGGCCGTCTTTTTCTTGCTTTTAGCTTCCGCCTCCAGTTCTTCAGATAATCCACAGGTACAGTTCTTACAGGCCTTCTTCTTCTTCGGACCATCACCACATGTTGCTTAAAGTAAATAATTACTGTGATAATTATGAAATAACAAATAAAATAATTTTTAAGAATTAAATTAAAGGTACATAATTTTAAGAAAAATGTTTCAGAACAATATCTATGTCCCTATAGATAGTTTTCAAATGTGATATTCTCTCTTTGAGTTAATTCCTTTGGCTTCTATCTTAGAGGTCAAATGAGTGAATTTTCTTCTTTGAGCAACCAACTTTAAAGATGTATGAATAAAAAATTAAGGGCAAAAATCTTTAAAGTACTAAAATTATGAATTAAAGGAGAATTTTGCTAACTCTTTGCCCAGTATGAACAGTTTAAATTGGTTGAATAACTGTGAAGAAATCAGGGCATGTTGACCTCCAAGATGGCAACCAATTGAAAATAACTCTTGCTAAAATTGTAATTATCCATAAACTTAGTTGAGGAAAAGATGAACAACACCTGAAGAGGACTTGAGAGGGTAACAGAAGTCTAGTTTCCTTGGAGGGTTGAGGGGTCAGGACAGTAACAGAAATCTAGTTACCTCGGAGCATTGAGGGGTCAGGACTTGTGACAGTAACAGAAGTCTAGTTACCTCGGAGGGTTGAAGGGTCAGGAGTTATGACAGTAACAGAAGTCTATTTACCTGGGAGGGTTGAAGGATCAGGACTTGTGACAGTAACAGAAATCTAGTTACCTCGAAGGGTTGAGGGGTCAGGAGTTGTGAAAGTAACAGAAGTCTATTTACCTGGGAGGGTTGAGGGGTCAGGACTTGTGACAGTAACAGAAAACTAGTTACCTCTGAGCATTGAGGGGTCAGGACTTGTGACAGTAACAGAAGACTTGTTACCTCAGAGGATTGAGGGGTCAGGAGTTGTGACAGTAACAGAAGTCTAGTTACCTTGGAGGGTTGAGGGGTCAGGACTTGTGACAGTAACAGAAGTCTAGTAACCTCGGAGAGTTGAGGGGTCAGGACTTGTGACAGTAACAGAAGTCTAGTAACCTCGGAGAGTTGAGGGATCAGGACTTGTGACAGTAACAGAAGTCTAGTTACCTCGGAGGGTTGAGGGGTCCTGACTTGTGACAGTAACAGAAGTCTAGTCACCTCAGAGGGGTGAGGGGTCCTGACTTGTGACAGTAACAGAAGTCTAGTTACCTCTTAGGGGTGAGGGGTCAGGACTTGTGACAGTAACAGAAGTCTAGTTACCTCGGAGGGTTGAGGGGTCAGGACTTGTGACAGTCACAGAAGTCTACTTACCTCGGAGGGTTGAGGGGTCAGGCTTTTTAAGGTCATCTTCGTCTAACAGGGCGTCATCATCCACCAGTTCTATGTCATCATCCAGCATGTCTGAGGCCGACAGAGACCACACCTTGGCCACTTCTTCCTGTGATTTCTCTGCTACTTGGAAGAGAAAATATGCAGGTATTAACACAATAAAGCGCAGTTCTTTATTTCTTAACAAGTAATATTTAGCTGATACACCTAAATTCAATAAGGCACAGACTTAAGTCCCCATTAAATTCCATGAAATTTGTAAAATTCTTCAGGAATTCATTTTCACTCTTTTTACAGTGTAGACAATACAGTGAAAACTGCCTAATCAAACCTGTGCAATCCGTTTCAGTGTGAATTCTGTCATTATTCTGATCTTTATTTATTCCCATTTTACTTTCATGCATTTCCTTGTTTTTTACATTGTGTAATCAGACACACTGTCTAATTTTTGAATTGTTAAATTTCTAAATCTACTACAATTCAAGACAGTTTCAGGTCTTTTGAGCTTTAAATTCATGCTCTTAATTGATACACTTTGAAATTTTGAAATATGATTTGAAATACATAAAGATTTGAAATATATAAAAATTTGAAATATATAAAGAGTTACCTTTCTTCTTTCCAAATGAGAGTTTGAGCTGAGATATTGAACCAACTTCATAATTTGGCTTTTTAGATGTAATCTTGACAACCAGGAACTCTTTAGATAATGACAGAGAATTTTGTATACTTCTCATATCTTCTGCTGATAAATCAACTTTTTCAGGCTGAAAATGAAAGCAGAATTTTTTTAATTTTTCAAAAATAAAAAGCTAGTGAAAATTCATCTCTTTAACAATTTGAATTTACACTACATGAGAAAGTTCACAGATCAATTCTTTACAGAACTTAAGTGTGAGTGTTTTTTTTTTTTAATTTAAAACCCTTGCTTCTCTATAAATGTAGATATCTACAACATTGTATTGTTGCCCCATCCACAACATACATCAAATTAATAGGAAAATTTCTCTGAATAAATAAACATAGCACAAACTAGAGCTGTCCAATAATGACAAATACCCCCACTGGGTTTTTCAGAGTAGGTGCCAATTCACAAATATTTTATGGATCTATTAAGAGGTGTTCATCATTTTCTTAGAAACAATTTGAGTGAAAATATAATTGCTCATATTTTTTTTAATAAATAAAACTAAGGTGCAACCAAATAAAACATCAATACTAATACATTGTAACAGTATTTTTTTATTTTATTGAAAAAATAAATTGCAACTATTTGTCATGATACTCTGCAAATACCCTTTAAAAATGTCCCTCCCCCACAAACACATGCATATGCATATATCTTTCATGTGGGACATGATGCTCTGAATTTGTCACTTGATATTTTTAATTTAAAAAAAAAAATCAATTTAACTAATTAGTATTAAAAACTCAATCAATAACAAACTGATTTTAGAAATAGAAGGCTGGCCATCAAATGACGTATGATATTTAAACTGACCAGCAGTTCTTCTGTCTAATTCCCAAAGGACACAGATAAGAGCTCCTTGATCAGAGATGCTCTATCAGAAATGATTGAGACAGCTAGATTTCCTACAATGAACTCATCAATTAATCTTTGACTGGATGCATGTCCACTAATTAATGTCAAGGGATGAATGGATCTTAACTATCTCCTTTGTAGACTAGTGCAATCAAAATTAGGGCTGGGCAATAATATCGATATTTCAATATATTGCAATACAATGACAAAAAATATCGTATCGCAATACGATTTTGTAAAATCGATATATTGGCAATATGCTTAGATTAAGGAATTTTGTCATTAAATATAAAAATGGACTTATAAAAGTTTGTTATTAAACCAAACAGTAAGTCAGAAGTTGTTTGTGGGAACATTTCAGAGCATAACTTAAATGAATTCAACAAGATTTTTTTTCTGTGTTGGTTACTTATCAAAGTTATGTACATTCTGAATGTAAATAATTAAGAAAATGCCATTTTTATTACATTGAAAATATTGCAAAACATATCGCAATACATTTAAAAATATCGCAATATATCGCAATACGAAATCTCAGGCCAATACCCAGCCCTAATCAAAATGCATAATTGTGTCATCCTGAAATTAAATCTGACAGCAAAGATCTTTGTATAAATTTGATACAAAGATTTATACAGAAAAAAAAATTGTGTGTGTGTAAGGTTCCTGCACGATTCTTAGATTTGTAGGGACTATCTTGAAATCAGACTTAAATTTCAATCTGAAAGTCATATAGAGAATGGGCATGCCGATTGCAATATCCCCCCCACACACACAGTTTAATTAGTTTTAATTATATGATTATACAATATCAAATAAGTTTATTATACAATATCATTAGTTTGAATTACTTTTTCTCAAATTCATTAAATAAGATAGGCCAGTTACTAAAACTATTTAAGGCTGATTCCTTCACCCGGTTTCCAAGAGATATAAACAGAGATGTTCTACCAGTTAGCTCCTTACACCAAACTAATTAATTTCTCTCTAATTTGACATGCAATTTTCTGTTATCGATATTCTCCTTGACCAGTGCTTGATAATTATACCCTTGGGAGAGGTAGATCATCTCTTATAAAATAACATTTGTTATGGATTGCTGTAAGTATATAATGAAAAATTAAAATATTATTTTCTTCATTTAACATTTTTTAAATTGGGATACAGCAACACTCTTACAATTTTGGGGATTGTGTAATTCAATAGTAAAAGACATTTTTTTTTAAAATTTTACTTAAATTAAAGGTCACGGTGACCTTGAAAATAGGTTGTGACACACCTTCTACCCAAGATGCATAAATTGGCCAAGTTTGATGATTGTAAGTCTAATAGTTTTCTAGTTATGAGCCAAACAAAACCACAAAAGAAAAAAGAAAAAACGCCTGTAAAATGCATAAAATCAACCAATCGTGCTGAAAATACCAGATGCACACCTTCATATGGTGAATAATGTGTACAAATTTTCAGACAAATCCATCCAATAGTTTCTGAGAAACGGTCTGGACAAAGTCTTGTCTACAGACGGACAGCTAGACAGACAGACGGACAAGCTGATTCCAATATACCCCCCTAAACTTCGTTTGCGGGGGTATAAATACAAATCTAGAAAAAGATGAAGTGCAAAGAGAGACAACTGTTTGTTGCCAACAGAAGCATTAAATGTTTCTTACCGGAGATATGTCCACAAATCCAGACAATTTTACTGTAGAAACAAGTTTGTCTTTTGCTTTTATTGCTCCATTTTCTGCTGACTCATTCACAGGCTCTATAACAATCAAATCTCCATTTGGTTTGAGAATGCGACAAACTTCTCCCAACGAGTCTGTGGTGTGAAGGTATGAGCAAGGCTGGATCAAACCCGAGATGACCACGTCAAATGAGGAATCAGGATGGGCAGCTGAAATGGTAGAGTAATCAAGATATGTACTCATCAATCACCTGCTACACGGCTTCAGAACTTAACTTAATATTGATCTTCAATTAATCCAGTAGAGCATTCTTTAGCAACATTTTTCAGATGCAATTAGTCTCATTAGTAAAGCACTTTAATACTACTGATTTTTAAAGATACACCAAGTCATCACAAATATTAACAGATGTCTTAATATATCTGGCAAACTGGCACATTTATTTCATTATTCCTCTATAAGTGATTGAAAGCACATTGCAGAAAAACCTCTGTTGAATTCACAAATTGGAAAACCATAGAAATCAAACCATTATAATAATACCTATACTTTAACTTACACAAAGTCAGCCTTTCAATGTTTTCCACCTGGACTTTGCCCGAGTCTCCCACTTCCTTCTGGAGTTCTTCCACTGCCTGCTGTAGTTTTTCTACCCCTTGGTTCCCAGACCATATCAGAAGAACCCTCTGTCCTGTAGAAACTCCCAATCCATCCACAAGACCCATAGTTCTGGATCAAATCTAAAACATGTAAAAGTTTGCATGAAAAATATCCTCTTTATATGTACAGAAAAAGTAAACCATGACAATAGTGATAATTTTATTTAATGACCAAGTATCGGTTTTCTTAAAAATCAAGTCTGAAAACTTAGGCTATGATTATCACATACTAAAATATTTAGAGCGGTGTACATAACTAACAAATACCACTATTTTTATACCCCCCGCTTGATAAACGGGAGGGTATATAGTAATCGATATGTCCATCTGTCTGTATAGCTGTCTAGCTGTGTGTCTGTCTGTCTGTAACACTTTGGGGTCCCCATCTCTTATCCACAACTCCTCTTATACCACAAAGTGAAATTTAATGAAACTTTAACAGACTCTTTATTACATATTGCCATTGTGACCTCCTGTTTTACTTTTTGATCCCGACACATATTTTGGGTTTCCCGGCCACCGCAAAACATGGACTTTGCCATTATAACCATATGGGAGGCATTTTTACCTGGTTTTACTATTAAAATACACGAAAACCAAGGAGCCCCTGCCTGAATGAAGTTATCCCCCATCCCCTAATCCAGAACCTGTATCTGCCCATCATTTCTTTTTGTACGTAACACTGTAGATGTTCACTAAAGGTTTCAATTCCTCTAAAATCAAAAGTTGAGATAGTTTAAAATATGGAAATGTGTTGTATATAGCTTAGTTCATACATTTTTGACAACTTGATAGAATGAAAATGTTAGAACAAGTGACATTTATAAATATGAAAAACATTGCATACAACAATGTTGGTTATTCTTTTAAAAATGTAGATCAATACGTAATGAGGTTAGAATAAACATAAACAAGAGATGTTTGTAAAACACTTATGCCCCCCTCCCCAAAATAAATGGAATTTTTCTAAGTCCAAGGGACATAATCCAAGGGACATAACTCTGTCAAAAATGGTATGATCATACCCAAAACCGAGATATTTATCTGATAAATCTGTATACTAAATTTCATTTCAGTATGTGCAACCTCTGCGAAAAAAATTAATGAAAACTGCAAATAATTGGAATATTTCTAGGTCCAAGGGGCATAACTCTGTCAAAAATGGCGCGATCATACCCAAAACAGTAGTTGACCTAGATATTTATCTAATAAATCTGTATACTAAATTTCATTTCAGTATGTGCAACCTCTGCGAAGAAAATGAACAGTAACTGCAAATAATTGGAATTTTTTCTAAGTCCAAGGGGCATAACTCTGTCAAACACGATATGTTTGTAAAACACTTATGCCTCCCTCCCCCAATAGGAATTTTTTCAAGTCCAAGGGGCATAACTCTGACAAAATTGGCACAATCGTACCCAAAACAGAACTTGACCTAGATATTCAGCTGATAAATCTGTATACCAAATGTCATCTCAGTATGTGCAACCTCTGCAAAGAAAATGAACAGAAACTACAAATAATTTTCTAAGTCCAAGGGGCATGACTGTCCAAAAAGGCTCGATCGTATCCAAAACAGAACTTGACCTAGATATTCAGCTGAAACTAAATGGACCGACAGACTGACCGACCGACTGTCAGACAGCAGCAAAGCAATATGCTCTTCCTTCTTTGAAGGGGGGCATAAAAATGCAGCGATTGTACCCAAATAAAATTTGACCTAGATATTCATCTGATATATCTGTATACTAAATTTCACTTCAGTAGGTGCAATCTCTGCGAAGAAAATTAACGAAAACTGCAAATAATTGGATTTTATTTTTAAGTCCAAGGGGCATAACTCTGTCAAAAATGGCATAATCATACCCAAAACACATCTTGGCCTAGATATTCATCTGATATAGCTGTATACTAAATTTCATTTCAGTGTGTGCAACTGTTGTGAAGAAAATGAATGGAAACTAAGTGGACTGACAGACCAACCGACAGACAGCAGCAAAGCAATATGCCCTCCCTTCTTACAAGGGGGCTTAAAATTACTTGTTGATATGAAAAAAAATTCTCCTTTGTTCTAACTGGATGCTACTTGATTGGACATAGACCTAAGTCAAACGGTATCAGGTCCATTCACCCTATCTACATGTTCATCCGAGTCCATTTTCGCAGGGTCCATTTGCCAAAATTCTTGTTCGCCCTGTGTCATGTTCACCATATATCTCGATCGCCCTTTTGTAAATATTTTATATCAACATCATCGTTGCAGCTTAAGTTATTTCTTTTTAATTAATTTTGTTCCATCAGTACTTATTGAATTTATTTCCAATTTTTATGTTAATTAAAGACTTAATTAGTTTAATTGCTGTCAATTTAGTAATTATTGTAAGAGAACACTTTCTTTATTAGTTTTTAAAGGTTCATATAAGCCTTTGTTTAGAAAATAAATAAAAAATTGAAAGTTGAATTATATTGTTTGCAGGCCATATGCAACCTCAGACAAATTAGAGAGTTTACTTTTGAGAAATCTTTTTTTAATTTATCATAAGTTTACTGAACGTAACTTATAAATCAAAATTAATGCTTATCACATAGATTGATTTACACTTTTGTTAGGAGTGAAACGGTTCACTGCGGTACTTTTTCTCGGTTCAATACACGGTACAAAATCTCTACTTTCAGTTCTTTGTTTTTCGGACGGGATCGTCATTCAGTCAGGTTTGGCATGAGGTATAAACATGCTTCTCTGTATAATTAGTTCAAAAACGTAAATTTTCGTGGACTTAAAGTTTTTAAAATAATTTTTAACAGTCAAATCAATTAAGTTGATTTATTCTATCCATTTTGAACATAAATTATTTGACTAGGTTAAGTAAAAGGAAGCATAATACAACAGTTGAATCTGTTTCCTTCTTAGGCTTCTATCAAAATGTATCATATCGAAAATAACTGAAACGAGATCAAATTTTACGATACGTATCGAACCGTGAATGAGGCGTATCATTTCACCCTAACTTTAATTTATTATTCTTTAACATTAGAAAAAATAAATTATAATTCAAACAAAATTATAAAATCAAAGGAAATTATGAATATTAACCAACTAACATATTGTGCGCAAACAGACTTTGTGCGAACGAGTTTTAGAGGGAACGGACCCTGTGATAACAAGCAAAAGACCGAATGGCATCAAGGGCGAAGGTATTTTAGAGCAAACTGACATACAACCAAGTCAAACTTGCATGGACTTGGGAGTGTTGCAATTTTATGGTCAAACATCAAAGTCATAAAGTTTTATAGCGAGCACAGCGAGCGTCGCATAGCGACGTCACTGCGAGCTCTTTAAGCAACACCTGGGCTAAGAGAAAATTTGAAATACTGCACATTCATTTGTCAGATTTTTGTTCCTCAGTAACTCTGGACCTACAATGCATCACTTGTTAAAGTTACGTTCTCGCTGGAACAGCAGCAAAAGTTCATCTAAAAGTTTACTTGTCCTGATTTAATGGATAATTATTGACAATAAATAGTGAACGAAATGTTCATTTACTTTTTGCACTGTTCAGGCTTCTTTATGGCAATGCAACTTACATACGACGTCATATGACGTCAGAGACTAAATTATACCAAAAGAAATATCTGCGCTCGCCATAACGGCCGCACCGTCAACATATTACTCCCGTGTTTCCCTCCAATTCAGTTTCATTTAAACTATCTGGTCTGTCAATATCTAAGAGATTAATACGTTTAATCCGTTATCTGTATCATTTCATAAGAACTAAAAAGGGGATGGATGAAAAGGTGGAACCACAGCACACATTTTTCAACAGTTCATGGAGAGAAAACATTTAATCCTTGACATTTTTCTCGAGTCTATAAATGTAAATATACTTAAATGGCAAAATCAATCAGCGAAAATACTGTTAAACAACGAAGAAAACTCTTTTTTCTGTTTACCTGATTAATCTGAAACTGATAATGCAATTTTCACCGGAAGTAAAGTTTGACCTTGACCTTTGTATAACAAAATGGTGTTGGACTGAAAAAAAGAAAAGAAATGTTTATTAAAGTCAATTAGTGTATGATATTTAATTGAAGAAATAACATGCTTCAGAAAAAATAAAATACAGATAAATCTTTGAAAAAATGAAATACGATGACAACGTTATAGGGGCCTAATTTACTTTGAATTAGATTGTTTGAAAACATAATATCCGTTTTTATCTGATTATACAAATTCATATTTTTCTAAAGTTATAAATTTCTTAGTTAAAATTTTATAGCAATTATTGTATAAGAGTAATCTTATTTTACTTTATTTAATTTTTGATGACGAATGATTGATTTACACAACTTTTTAAAAAATGGCAAATTCTAAAAATAAAAGCTGATTTCTGATTGGTTAAACTTGAAAGGACTTACCATAGGCGGTAGATTGAATTTTTGTGTTATTGCTGAAAAAAACAAGACGTGTCCATGGACATTCTTGGGGATGATGTGTGGGAGTATAATGCCCCACAGTATGTTGATTTTGCAGCCGGTGAAGATGATCCCAATGCAGACGCATGGTTTGGTAAGATTTGATGCCAAAACAGCATATGAACAGTGTCATTAGATCACCAGGGATCAAACTGCTGGAACAATCATTATTATTGTTCTATGTTCAATCAATGATGAATTTACTTATATTTTTAAATTTTTTCATATGAGTGTTGTTTTTAATGAATTACTGCCATGCTCTTGGAGGATATAGATGGCAGGTGCATGCTGATTAAAATTTCCCAAAATAGACATTTTACATTGGTAAACAAACTGATATTATTTTTCTAGAATTCACAATGTTTAACTCATATGATTTTTAAAAGTATATTTAGAAGTACATTGAATTGATAATAGATAGTAATGATCACTGATCTTCTTTGAGTAAATGTGTGCTAGTCTCCAATGCATACTTGCCAACCTCCAGCATGTAAAAATCGGGTGCACGATGTTTCGGGACCACGACGTTTCGGGACCTGACTAATACGACGTTTCGGGACTAGTGAAAAGACGTTTCGGGACTTGGGTAATCCTTGGGTTATTTTTTTCTGGATCTCAACTAATTATTTTATTATTATGATATAGCATATTATTCGAAGTACGCATAGTACGTAATATTTAATTTTTATGTATATAAACATTTAATAAAATTCTCATAAAGATATTCTTTGATGGGTTTTTTTTTTCATGACAGACGAAAAAGAATAAATCTTTACAATAATCGCTTTTATTTCTTAGATTCTTAATATCTATTTTTCTTTATAATTAGTTATTTTTTAATGTATGTGTGGTTAGGGGGGGTCCAAAATTTAATCTTCTCAGGTTGATGATATATATTTTAAAATATTCAACTCACTGTGATCTCCAGCTACTGTTTTTTTTTTTTTTTTTTGATATGTCAGTAAATTGTTAAAACAACAACTAGGACCAGGTACACATACCCCATAGGGAGGTGTAACGTACATGTATAATGACGCCGCCGGTAATGGGAACTGAAAAGATTGTGTGGTTTCTTTTGAAATTAATTTAAGAAAATAAAGATCTAAAAATATGCAAAAAATATATATATCGTTTGTTTATTGGTTAATGAAATAATTCAAAATCAAACAATATTTATATAATAGTAATAATTTTCCCATCATCAAAAGTTCAACAAAATATAAAGGTTTTCAAAATGTTTTGATCTTGATTTTGTCTATTTTTTTCCCAAACAGTTTCAAATATTTTTTTCAAAAAGTTTGAGCATAGTATTGTAAGATTCCTCCCTGGAAATGTCACGAAAATATTTTTAAAGATTCCAAAACATTGTACACTGTATATGAACATATTTTACAAATGAGAACATTTTCCTACATGTAGATTTAAAAAAAAAAATACCATTAGGCCTATACTTAAAAAAAAAACAATAAAACATTAAATGGTATAAACAACATCATTTCATTTGATATCGTTTCAAATAATGTTTTTAAAAATATTTTAGATCGATTTCATCATACTTTATCTATTTTATGTGGCTAGGTGAAAATTTAATAAAAAATAAATTTAAGTTGACCTGTTAACGTAGTCTTTTTTCTTTTATTCTGGAATGTCTTTTAAACACTTTTACAACGTACATGTAATATGAAAAATTTAATATTTGCAAATTAAATAATATTTAGTATTTATTTACAATATCATTTACAGTGTGTCATGTACCTAATTATGTAATACCACATAATATTACGCACTGGTTGGGTATATACGAAGATCGATAATTTACTTTCATTGAGATTTGTAGTCTGTGTATACACAGTAAACATAAACAACTACCCGTAAAACGTAAAGTTTTTACTGCACATGTGCTAGCTTGAGCCTTTGTAAATTCTGTAAACAAATATGAAATAAAACACCTAAAATCATTATTATTATTGAGAGAAAGAAAGTCTTAGAAAGATAAACACGTCCGTGGTCTTCACAAAGCAGTTTCGATTGTCTCCCTGTGGCTTTAATTCTACAAACTCTCGTATCAAACACTATAAATAAATTAAATACATAATTCTAAAATATATTTTTTGAATTAAATTTGATGAACCAAATACTTTATAAAGGTAATATATCATGTACATAAAATGCTGTAAAGCCTGTAATAAGAAATGTAGAGACAACATTGCGGGCGGTTGATTTTCTCGGCAGGCGTGCTTCATGCCGCATGCAAACTTTAGAACTAATAAAAACTCCAATCTTTGCTTCGTAAATTATAAATTGTGTATCAAACTGAGAAATTATACTTATATAAACATAAAAACACAAGTAAACAAGTTTTATTTCATTTCCTTAACAAAATATATAGAAGTCCCGAAACGTGTTAGCCCAAGTCCCGAAACGTGTTAACCCAAGTCCCGAAACGTGTTGACAGGTCCCGAAATGTCGGGGTCCCGAAACATCGCGGTCCCGAAACATCCAGAATTCTAAAAATCTGGTCATGACCAGATTTGGAAAGTAAAAAATCTGGTCATAACGCGTAACGACATTCACAACATATTTACCATGATTAAATTTTATACATATAGATCTACATGATATATATACAAACTATTTGTGTATTGAGAATTCTTCTATTGAAGAAGGATTTAATTTACTATGACAAAAAATTCATACATAATTTGTTTTAATTTACATGTTAAAAATGAGAATTGAAGGTTTCAAATTTCAGTATTGACCTGAAGTAAGTGTGCATTTTAAAAAAAAAAAAGCCTTTTCAGTTTCTGCTAAATTTGAAAGTATACCAGTTTCAATTTTGAAGTTATTTTTCCTCTCTCTTAATTAATTAACTACTGCAATATGTTTTAAATGTGAAGTTAGGCCTACACTGTCTTTGATCACTTTATTTTATCTAGAAGGAAGGTTTTTGTTCCAAGATTCCTTGATATGTACATAAATATTGTTTCTCTTCTTGGTTCAATCAGAGACATGTGTTTGGTTCAGTTTGTTCCTGTTGGCCCTGATAACGATTAAAAGCCATTTTAATTGACTTCAAACATTGATTTGTCAAAACAACACCCAGTTAATTGTTTACACACCTGCACTGATAATTAATCCATCGGCATTGTTTACGTAAAGCTATGGGTTGTAACTGGAAGTTAAAAGTGCAAATTAATAAATAAATAGATTTTCGGGTTGTTCAGCAAAAATCGGGTGATAAGCATGACCCGCCAGGTCATAAAAAATAATCGGGTTACGGGTTGAAAAATCGAGTGTGTTGGCAACTATGCTCCAATGTGTGTTTTTTTTAATCCTGATTGATTTGATGATCTAAAGTAATTGTGATAAATAATGTACAAGTCATGTCAATCAAGTACCATTGAAAAGTTTAGTAGTTCTATTGACAAATGAGTCATAAAAACAAAATAAAATTTTCTCTCAATTTCTGTATTTTTTTTAAGATCAGCAAAATGAACAAGGCAAGAAACCAACACTTAAAGAGGATGTTTGTGCCACACCCCCTGTTGAGAATCGCAGATTAACAAGATCCATGTGTGCCACTCCTCAAAATGAAAATAACTTACCAGAAGCAACAGGTTTTTGTGTTTGAAATGATAGCACCTATTGCAATGCACCTAAATGGTTCAAACATCTACATGTATATCAGAGTTGTGTAAATAATGAAGATAACTAAAACTGAACAAGGAGTAGCAATTTCGAAGAATTTTTTATAACACTTAGTATGATTTTGTTCATGTTTAATTGTTTACTGAGAATATTCGTTTTTACAGAAAAGAAAAATACACCAGCCAAAAAGTTAGATACTCCATCAAGGATTATTGTTACAAAAACTGGTGCATCAAAAACCACAGACAATAACAGTGATGGATTGAAAACCACAGACAATAACAAAAAGTAATGCAATTCTACAATGTATATAATGATCATAAATTGTAATGATAATGCAAGTCTTCATGAACATATACAATGTAAGATATATTGTTTTAAATCTTGTAAGGACCAAAAAAAAGAATATCTCATGCGTAAGTTTATTATGCGTAAATAATTAAATTTTCAAATTTCAATTCAGAAAACCTGCCATGCCACTAAAACAAGCACCAGAGTCCAAGACCACACCAGACACAAGGGGAAGATCACGATCACTCAAGCGAACCAATTCAATGAGAGTGGTCAATCCCATCGAGGCTCACAAGAGGAGATCAGCTGATCCAGTGCGGGTTCCCGTGGTGCCTCCAGCAGAAAAACCACTAGCAGAAAAGACAGTGTCTAATCCTCTTATCAACAAAGCTAAAGCAATGATCAGAAGGAGTGCTTCACGGGTACAGGATGGTCCCAAGGAACCGCGAGAACGTACCCGTTCTATTGATGGCACTGTCCGTGCCAGAACACGTTCTACAACCCCCAGCGTTACCTGTAACAATACCTCACAAAATGATGCTGCAGCACCCACCTCCAAGATGCCAAAACTAACTGTACCCACAACTCCAACTTTCATGAGGTGAATATTTCTTTATACAGACTAAAGATAGATAGGTACTTCTGTATCTTTGAAACTAGTCTTCTATTTTATCTGTTTTTAGACATGTTTTAAATTAGGTAAACATAAATATACTCCAAGTTTGAGTGAGTTCAGAGAGAAAAAAAGCATTCTTTCTTTTATACAACTGGGTTTGGTCATGATGGGTAAAATAAAAATGGGATGATATTGCTTGAAAGTTTGAAAAGGTGATAATTATACAGGGCGAAAATAACCCTGTACAATATTATGTAATTACAGGAGAAAGCCTATTGGAAAGACTGAAAAAGCCAAAACTACTGAAGAGAAACAACTGGAAGAAATTGCCAACATTAAAGCGGAATTCAACAAGAGGAAGAAAATGACACAGAAATCATATCAAACGGCCATGAAGTCTACAGGTGTTGCACCTGTGCATTCCAAGGTGGAACCCACAAAACCAGAGCCCATCCACTTTGAGACTGACAGGCGCATCAAATCTCACCCCACCCACAACAACAGTGCTGATAAAAAGGTGGATTTCGTCCGCATTCTCAGGTCAAACTCCAGGGGAAGATCACCAGTATGTATACCACATGGTTGTTTTTGACATGATAAAGATTGAGTTGTTCAATAGAAAGTTTAACATACTGTATTAAAATTTGGAAAATTAGTTAACAGAATTCGAATTGTATTTTAGAAGTCAGAATTTAGTATTCCTCAGAAGAGTTGAAACAAAGTAATCCTTTCATTAATACTTGGCTATGTAATGATATTGCAAACTTGAATGGTTTCTTGACAAATGAAGGAATACAAAATGTGTTTTTCCCTCTAGGCTCCTGCAGAAAGATTGCCCACAAAACCCCAGCCATTTAAGCTCTCTGAGGGAAGAAAAAGAAAAGCAGAGACTGATTCAGAAACTTATAAAACTATGGCAGAACAGCTGGTTACCTTCCATAAACAAACGCCTGATAGATTTCATTCTCACTCCAAAAGTAAGTTCTGCATATATCCCCATTGAAGGTTTTTAGGCTATCGATTGTACATGCGGTAAAGACTAAAAGACACAAATGTATTGGATTTCAATTCTATTTTATATTAGAGTTTTTAAGGAATAAAAACTGTTTTGAAATCCTGATTGTTTAAGCAAGTCGGGTAACAAATTTTGTTTTACATTACCTGTGTCATTCATAAGCATATAATTTGTAACAGAAGTTCCAGAGAGAACAAAGAGTCTCCATTGTCGTTCTCCTGTGTCTGGACTTACTGTGCCAAAAACCCCTAACTTTGAGTCTACAACCCGCTCTCGTCCTGTACATGTACCCAGTCAGAGGGACCTAGAGGAAAAAGAGATCGAGGAAATGAAAAAGTGAGTCATGTTTGACTATCCTCAAGAATATTATTATTTATTTCTGAGAGGAATTATTAATGAATTTACAATTAGAATTCAAACTGAGGTAGTGGGGTTGTTCTGCTATAGCTTAACAGTACAGCGGAATATGAAAATTATTTAGAGTCATATTTTCAATGAAATTTTATTCCTCACATTTTAAACATATTTTTATCATTTTTGTATAGCCATTTCTTTGCAAAGCATGAATATTTATGAAGTAATGGTACAGACAAACGTGATATATTGCAATGTAATCCACACTGTTAATCACACACACTAATATTTATTTAATTAGAATAGTTTAAAATCAATATAAAGAGTTATTTACCCTGTCACATCAATTAAGGATCCTGAATAATTTCAACACTGGTCATGTGGATTTCTCGCAGGTGAACATCCAAAGCCTCAATGTATCGTCAAGATTAAAAAGGAATTCCGTGCATAAGTATATATACCAGGACTCACACATGCGTACATAGCTACCACACCCCATACATACTGGTTTTACAACTCACACCTAGGATAAAAATAAACCACAAGACAATCACGTGACAATCAAACACTCATGTGACACGGAACACCGGACAAACCAGAATACAATACAAACACGATGACAATGAATGACCAGGTATGAATGAATGAATGAAGGAATTTAATATGCTATGCATTTAAATGTATCGAGCTGTACTAAATAATTATACTAAATAAAATAAAAACAAGTAATTGTCACCCTGTGACACCCTGTATACAGTATTTCTTTCCGAGGTAAATTATTAATGGATTTACAATAAGAATTCAAACTGAGGTAGTGGGGTTGTTTTTGTGTGTTTATTCTATAGCGTAACAGTACAGCAGAATATAAAAAGTATTTAGAGACATATTTTCATTGAAATTGTATTCCTCACATTTTAAACATTTTTTTTATTATTCTTCAATGGCTTTTTTCTGGCATACAGTATATAGATGAAGTACATAGGGTATATACTGTGAATCTTTCCATTTAAAAATTAAAGCAGAATTTACACTGTCATGACTTTTTGCATTCTGGTGTGAAAAAGGTGGTTCCAAAGCCTGTTACCAAGTTTGAGGAGTTTGAATTTGAAGGGGGCAGAAGACCTCACAACAACAGCATGAAAAGAGACAAAGAGGAGAAATACGAATTCCACGCTCAGCCTGCTCCAAAGAAAATCTTAGAGGGGCCGGTGGTACATATCTGAAGCATTCATTGAAAGAGTTTTCCTTGTCATTGTTGAAAACTCATTTAATATGCCTGTGCATTTAAATGTATCGATGATAAAGAATAATCTGAAACTTCTTTCAAGTAGATGTTTATGGTATTATCATTTGATGCTTGTATAGAAATATTTCTTAACTTTTAATTTACAGGGAATCAAGCCAGTGAAGTATTTTCACCCTCCCAATATGCCTTCTCCTTAAATATTTTTTTTTATCCCCATTGCCTAAAAGGTCTTCAGGAGGAGGTAACATTATTCTATCGAAATCAGTTTTTCCATCTCTGATTTTGAATTCTTTTCTTGCATAATATTCCCATACAGTATATAGCATGAAGTAAAGGGTATATACTCCCAAAAAATTACTGGAGAATTTACACTGTCATGACTTTTTGCATTCTATTGTTGCATTATATTGCCATATATTATACAGCACCAAACAAAGAGTATATACCAAAAAAAATTTAATGGAGAATTTACACTTTGTCATGGCTTTTGAATTATAACCTTACATTATGTTTTGTTTATGATCATAAGGTGTCTAAGGTGATGAAAGGTCATGCAGTGCCTCATGCTGGAGTCCCTTTCCAGCCAATACTGAATCATAAAAGTACAATTCCTGAACCATTCACTTTTGATGAAAGGGACAAACTTGCCGTGGCAAAAAAGCAAGAGAAAATAGAAGAAATTTATGAGGAGGAGAGGAAGGTAGTATGTGTTCTTTGCATGTTGGCTTCATTTCTGATGCTAATTTGAGGACCTCTCAGTCAGTCACTCAGTGACCTACGTTTTATTTTCTGTTGTTCTTGCTGAATGCTGTCCACTGTGTATTATTTGTGAACTTAAAAGACAGTTTAAGAATTTTCTATGAAATGGATGAACTGATTTTAACCAGATTGGGATAGAGTATCTGGGAACAAACTGAGAGAAATATTTCTGACCCTGGCTTCTGGGGGTATTTTTTTTTTATTAAAAGAAAAATAAGTAACGTCCTGTGCCTGTGGTAGAAACCAAGGTGTGGGGTTAAAAACAAAAGAATTTAATCCTCATTCTTACATTTTTCTCCTTGACATCTTGATTGCAAACTGTTTGCATGATCATACGTAGCTTTTTCCTAGTTTTAAAAAGCATGGTTTTACGATTAACAGCTCTGGCCACAGGATGAAATTTTAGTTTGTCAAATATTACATGTACCTGGTAAAAAAAAAATTATTCTTGAAATGTCTTCATCTTTACTTTTGAATATCTAGCACACATAAATGTTCTGTTTGCATGGTCATAATACACAGTAACATTTTACAACATTGTAAAATCAATGAGTTAGGCATAAACTAGAATGCATGATAAATCTTTACATTCATATAAGCGTACAATATACATGTACATTTTTGAACATATAGCAGAGTAATAATGATTAAGATGTCCCTTACAAAAATTGAGTATTTAAAATTCCACATCAGAAGAGCTGTTCAACTAATCTACATTCACTAGATGAGAGAATTCCATGCCCAGCCTTTACCTGTGGGAGAGGATGCACTGCCTCTCAAGAAAACCAAACCAGCAACCATCCCAGAACCATTCCACCTGGAGGCTGACGAGAGAGGAGCCAAGAGACTGCAAGAATTCAGTCATAAGGTTTATACAAATTATACATGTATATTTTTATGTTAATATGCGAATATCAGTGAGACTTTTCTTGAAATGATTAATATACCCCCCGCAAACGAAATTTGGGGGGTTATATAGGAATCACCTTGTCCGTCTATCCGTCTGTCTGTGCAAAATTTCCATATCTTTCTCGCATATAATACTACTCCACACAAAGATTACCCATGACCTATGTGTCATATAAAGCATTAACCAAGGTCACTGGAAGAAAAAGTTCATAATTTGTTTCCGGTCCATATCTTTCTTATGGATAAACTTGGTAGGTTCTCATTTCACGCAAAAATTGTCCATGACCTAAGGGTGTGTCATGACTATGACCCAAGGTCATTTGGGGAAGTTCAAGGTCGCTGGAAGAAAATTTTCATAATTTGTGTCCTGTCCATATCTTTTTTATGGATAAATTTGATAGTTTCTCAATTCACACAAACATTGCCCTTGACCCAAATGTGTGTCATGACCTTGACCCAAGTTCATTTTGGGAAGTTCAAGGTCACTGGAAGAAAAAGTTCTTTGTCATTCACTCTTTTTTATGGATAAACTTGGTAGGTTCTCAGACATTGCCCATGACCCAGCCTGTTACCTTGACCCAAGGTCATTTTGGGAAGTTCAAGGTCACTGGAAGAAAAAGTCCAAACCAGCAACCAGGTTCCCACACAAGAACCATGTCCACCCAAGGTCATTTGGGGAAGTTCAAGGTCACTGGAGAGAGGAAAAGTTCATAATTCATGACTTTCTTATTGATAAACTTGAATTCAGTCATTTCACACAAAGGTTTATACAAATTATACATGTATATTTTTATGTTAATATGCGAATATCAGTGAGACTTTTCTTGAAATGATTATTTAAACGTGTACATGTCTGACATTGGCAAAATTTATTAATTTACCAATACTGTACTGGTATACAATACAGGAAAAATTCAAACATATGTACAAGTACATTTTCTTCTTAAAAGATGTCTTAAATGTGTGAATATACATTGTAGGTTGAAGAAGAAAACAAGCAGTTAAAGGCACAAGCCAAATTTAAAGCCCACCCTGCCAAAGTAGTGCACAAAGAACCATTCTGTCCACAAAAATCTACCAAGCCTCTCACAGGTAGTAAATCTTGTACAAATTTGTGTGTGCTTGAGAATATTTTGATGTAAAAGAAGATTCTGAGGTTGTTTGATATGAGAAATCTAGTTTGCTGATTTATTGGTAAAATATTGAAAATTTTCACATAAATAAAACTTAGTTAAAAAAAGTTGATTGTATTAAGGAAATCTTGAAAATAAGGAATATTTAATGAATCCCATTGAAGACTATAAACATACTTTGTTCCTGAGAAAAATATTTATGAAGAACTCAAATTTGAAGTTCCAGGGATTCACTAACATTGAAGTTTTACTTCATTGTTCTTGTTCCAAACATTAAAAAAATATAAAGAAAAACTTTTTTAAAAACTTGAACTTCTTAAAAAAAATTCAAGTGTTATGCAAAGACAAAACCTAATCCATATTAATTACTTTTATTATCTTAATCTATAGGGATTCTGCAAATTTTTATCATTCCCTCTAGTAATGTATTGCCATTTATTGCAGATATCAGTGGATTTGAACTTAACACAGAACACAGGTCTCAAAAAAGAGAAAATTTCGAAATGTATAAAAAGGCTAGAGAAGCACAACTTGAAGCAGCCAAGCGCGAGATAGAGCGCCAAAAAGAGGAAGAAGAAAAGGCTGCCGTCGCTAAGATGAGGGCAGAGGCCGTTCACAAATCACAGCGAATCAAACGATACAAGTCAGTGGAGGTGCTACCAAGTGATAGGCCTATAACAATAGCCGAGTCACCAAACTTTGAAACAGACCGTAGACTAAGGAGCAAAGTTGATAGCCTCTCTCACAGCAAGTTTTGATGGTTGAAAGGGTTCATGTAATTGTTGACTTAATACAATATATGTCCTGTATGATCCTCTCAAAAATAGTAACATATTTGTTTGAATTTTGAATTGTTATAAAAAAAAAAATTCTCCATACCTTATGGTGTGTCAGAAAATTTACTGTTTTATTTCATACACTGGATTTTTATCATACTGTTTTTAATTCAGGGAAATAGTTTTTAACATGTAATTGACAAAATGTTTGAAAGATCTTAATGCCAGTATTATTTGGTGAAGGCCTTCATACTGTAAACTTGTGATAAGCTATAAAATCTCTCCATCCTGGTAAGAAAAAGCTTTCTCTCTCTCTTCTGTCTTTCTTACAATCATGTCTTACAGACAACTGCAGCTTGCCAGTCCATTGTAAAACAGACATGGCAAAATACACTGTCCAAACTGTGCCTGTAAACTGTATTAATATATGTGCCCACAAAGCTATGTATCACAAATGTTTTTCTATTTTTTTTCTCCTTGTGAACTTCTAAGACTTGTTAATTTCTAATAGCTGTTTTTTATCACGTTAATTGTATTTATAATATTATGTACATGTATCATATGCACATACTATATTATAATTATTCCTGGGGTTTTGTGTATGAAATGTCTTACATTTTATTTTATTATATAATGCTAGGAGCATCTGGTAACATGGTAAAGTGCCCCTGCACCAAGTGGAAGAAACAATCCTAGATAATATATTTAGGGGTTACTTTCGACCATATTTTCAATGCATAGAAAAACAGATGTTTCTCACTCTTTTATGTTGATTTTATACAGTACTTGGTAAGATGTCCCAAATTAAGCTTCGGATCTAATATGTTTGGATGTCTAAGATCTATGGGGCATCATTAATTTTTCTATGTTTCTTAATTTGTATTTTCATTTTTTATTTACATGTATGTGCATGAGAAACACACATGCAAATGAATTACACAATGTATTTTTTAACATTACATGTATCATTCATACTGTTGTAGATTGATATTGTAGTTGTGAAAATAATACATGATTATTGAATAAATGAGTGAATAGATATCAGTTACTTGTAATATTTTGATCAAGAGAGTATGTCTATATTTGAAGAATTTTTTTGTGCTCCTAAAGCAATCTTGAAAAGGAAAGGTCTAAATTAAAGAAATGTTTTGAAGTTTTGTGTGAGTTATTGGTGTGTGAATCACACAGACATGTCAAGAAGGCATATTTCATGAAGTGCGCTAGCGCTTTATGAAAAATATGCCTACGTGCAAGTCTGTGTGATTCACACACCAATAATTCACACTAAACTTAAAAACATTCCTTATATTTACATTTTACATGTTTGGAAACATCTTAAATATACTCAATATTTGAATTTCTTGCTGACCTACATATATATCGTTGCATATTTACTAATGCGCTGCAGCCTCATTGTGATGTCACGTTAACACACGTTTCTCCGTGTTTATTTCTACGCACCAGTATACATGAAAATGGTATTCAAATTAATTTAACAGTTAGCTTAGTAGAAAAACACAGCGAATGTAAATATTCTTGAATAACAGCTCTAGCAAAGCTTAGCAGGTTCTTCAACATCACAGAACACTATTATATCTCTAAATAAACTGATTCTCAGATACAGTATAGTCATTTTTTTTCAATGTTTTAACTAATTCAATGGTGCATTGACAGTAAAATATATTCAGTGTAGTTTCATTAAGATTAAAATTAACAAACATACAAACTGATTTTTTTTTAATTTCATTTTACACAAAATATGCATAACTTTTATCACAGACAACACATAAAAGCAAAATAAACAGTTAATGCTTAAAACAAGACGATGTAAAAGCTCTTCTTTATCTCTGCAATGGTATCTTCTCTTTTATAAACTGCAAAAAAAAAAAGAAGAAATTTTAAGTTAAAAAAATTATTTTGTACTGTCTAAAATCTAAATACTGTAAAATCACACATTTCTGTGGGGTCAAATATTTTTTGGATAAAAAAGGTATTCACACCCTATTACTGGTAACTGGGATTGCAGATGCAACTGGAATGACAGATGGCAAAGTTGTTTTTTGTTATGACAGAGACCTGACTTTTATTCTATTTTTGACTATTTATAACATTCTTTTACTGATGTATGGTGGTTTCCCGTTTTGATCATATCATAAACTATTTTTCTGTTTTGAATCTGCTGTCATATTTTCCCAATCTGTCATTCATGACAGCCAAAATATCTTGACCAACAAAAATCAAGCGCTTGCAGCACACTTATTACACAAGAGAGACTATCCACATTTTGAAGTTATGGTGTAATATTTCCATTTCCAATTGTTTTCTCTATGATAAACACTACAAAAGTGAATCTTGTTAATTTCATGGTAATACCCTGTGGTATGTATATTTCTCTATTACTGAAAGGCCAGGTGTCAACCTGCATGTATATCACTGGCGTATAAATATACTACAGAAAAAAAATGTTTTGTTTAATTGTTTACTAAGTAATTAGATATGATATATCTTTTTAACAAACAAAATAAATAATGAATTATCTTCGGATCAAAAGCAAGTCACTAGCGCAACGCTGTCCACTATCACCAAGGCCTCGCGAGACCGAGAACTCAATCCACTTCCAGGTAAACAGCCACGTGGAGAAATTGACATTGCCACATGGATCTGCACGTACTCCATCATCTGATACAGACATCGTCAATTAGTCATTACCACCCAACTTCTTACGCAACTCAACTTCTTCTGTTATTTAAACATCCATACAAATCGGTTTCCTGACCATTCTGACCAACTCCCGTTTCATCAACTGCAACATTGCATTCAATATGGCGGTGGAGAAGTGACATAGTGCCTATATATGTTCGTGCTTCCGACAACTTAAATCTAGGTCACATATATAATTAAAGTTAACAAGATTACTTTGATCATAATTTAAAATTCTTTTGTTGTTTATTTTATAAATGTTGATATTTGACTACGGTAACTAAATAATCAATAAATTTGTTTCGTGTTTTTTGAGACTATTTTTTATAGTAAAATTTGACGTCATGGGGCCTTGTGCATTTCAAATCTACTCAATTAGACGGTATTTCGATTTATTTTAAGATGGCTATTTCAAGTAAAAAAAATATAAGACCACAATTTTGAGAGTATGCCAGGGACATCAAAATAGTGGGAAACATGATAATTTTAGCATAAAATTTGCCCGTTATGCAAATTATCCCATGTTTCCCACTATTGTTGATGCCCTGGCATACCCTCAAAACTAGACAGTGATTCCTTAAAAGAGCCTAAATTTATCACATACAACAAGAAATGGGACCGTGGAATAGCAGTTTGAATTATATAAGCGCAGTTTGACCATAATTTTCTTGAATGGTGATTGAAATTTTACTTTATTGTGTTTTTATTTTGCCTTGATAAGAAATCAGTAGGTTTATATTCTCCAGAAAAATAGTTTATGATATGATCAAAATGGGAAACCACCAAACGTAAGTACTGTAAATCACTTTTTATTCACAAGAACTTTATTTTCGCGTAATTACACGAAACCATGTGCTTGGGGAAATTTCATCCTCACGTATATTATCATACCTAAATATAGAACAATGACCACAATTCTTGAAATTTTTTCTCGCTGACAAAGAGTCAATGACTATCTTGCAAAAAATAAGGTGTCGCAAAAATATAGTGATCTACAGTAAATGAATGTGTAAATAGTATGATAAAAGTCAGGTTTGTGTCGTAGCGAAAATCAACTTTGCTGTCTGTTGTCCCATTTTTATCAGCAGTCCCCGTTGCAAGTAATAGGGTGTGGAAGTATATATTTGCTGGGATTTGATTTCATGGACAAGAGGTTGTATATAATAATATACCAGGTATGTGAAAAATTACTTTGATGGTGGACAGGATTTTTTTCATCACCTCAGGTCTTGAAAACAACAAAATCTAGCCCCCCTTGGAACATTAATGACTTAACTTAATTTATTGTTTATTTTCTAAACATATATACTAATAGAGAGACAAAGCATTTGTACAGTTGAGATATTCCAGACCCTCTTTGTACTGACCTGTATTAGTTTTTTGCGGTATTGCGACTCCTGGTAAGTCGGTTTGCGCTGTGGAGGTGTCTTTTCTTCTCGCTCAATCAAGCGTATCATCTCATTAATATTCATAATATGGACCGGGTCAATTTTATTTTTGTTGATGAGGTTGACTAGATATTCTTTGTAATGTAACCTATATCGAAAATAAAATAGGACACATGTACTTTGAAAATATAATATAAAATTTCAATTTTGAAAACACACACAAGAAACTAAACATATACATGTTTTACTGTATACAGGTAAATTCTGCCCTCTTTTTATTTTAGTTTCAAAAATACAGCAGTCTGAATTCTGGGATCTAAAGTAAATGGAAACCCCAACATTAAGATCTGTTTGAATTATGATCTGCAAAACTCGGATTTTACTCCTTCTACTTACACACACAGCCCGGCGTGCCCCGCTGTGACGTCTTTACCGCAGGCCTCGTCCTTCTTCCCCTCGTGGATGTCCTTCAGTTCCATCACAGGACAGTGGTTCTGGTCCTCCTGGTGACCCGCCGCCTCCGTGTCAAACTTCACATGTTTCTCCTGTACGTAGAGAGGACACAGAATGAAAAATTTTACTGAGGAAAATTAGAAAGTGAAATCATCTCGTGAAATGTTCAATTTGACTGTTAAATGATGAAATTCTTTCAAAATCTTAATGTTGCTCCAAGTATAAAATGATTTGCTCAAAGATAAAGATCTAGACAATTTAGAATTGCATTTATAATGTATTAGTCATAATTATATCTTCCTCCAATTCACTGCTTTTTGGATAAAATGCAATCTGAAATACATGTGTCTGTATATATAAATATTTATAATCAATTACCTTCAGAAGACGCTGTAGATCTTCAACTGAGTTGTCACGGAGATAATAAAAACAATCACGGGGGTGGTGACAGTGGAGTCCCTTACCACGGCAACTCTTAAACTTCAGACAAACCTTAAATTTATCAAATAAGAAATGAATTTCATTAAAAGATGTAAGAACACTTATTTCATTGCACAAGTTGTGTACATGTAGTTTAAAAGATTAGCTATTACAACATGGAGGTACATGTATAAAAAAAAATCCAGATTCGATAGGAATTTTATAATAAAAACCTACTCCTTTGGAATCAAACATCTGAGAACATCCACTGCAGAATTCATGTCCACACTCAGGACAATTAAAATGCATACAGCCTCCCTTTGCCAGAGAGAACCTCATTTTACAACTAGGACAATCTACAATTGAAATAAATAAAAACGTGGTAGTTTGACATTAAGCTTGCAATAGCACTTCTAAATATACAGGGGAAATGAGATTTGAGGTTAGTTTTAAAGACATGTACTTAATATACTTTTTTAATTTCTCATACTAGTATTTTATTTTTCAGAGCAGGTGCTCCTATAAAAAAAATCGTTTTAGTCAGGTATGTGAAAATAATTTAAATTATCAAAAAGCTAAAATATTCTTCAAAGAAAATGATATATAATGTATTACAGTTATTATCACAAGGTATTATTTTCCCTAAAACACATACCAATTCCATTAGCAGCGAGGTGAGCAGCGAGGCCCATGGCCTGATTCTCCGGGTCATTGTCAATCTTCCATTGCTCATACTGCTCACAGGTCAGACCCTCATGTTGATCCTCCCACTGTAAAAAAAAAACAAAAAAACAATGTTTATTTCACAGCTGTTGAAAAGTGTGTTATTCAACTAAGCACTGTACATGAAGTAGCAAATTTGACCCCTCACAATGAAATAAGTACAGACCAAAAAATAGCAGGTTTCTCTAAAAAGCTATCTAGCTTGCATTACCTGTTTCTTGCAGTTGAAGCAGGTTTTCTTATTACAGTAAGGACACTGCATGGCTGGGTTTCTCTCTCCTCCAATATTGATAAAACCATTTCCACACTGAAAAATAAAAGCTGTTTGTACTATGCAGCATATGGTCTAGCTTGCTGACTAGCTGACCAAAAGTTACAAAAATTCAAACACAACTTTTCTACTTTTTTTTGCAAAGTTTGATAATGTAAATGTACTCACATGGGCACACCATCTGAACTTTGGGTCTTTTTGAAGATACCAATCCCTCAGTTTGGTTTCATAAATTTCTTTAATATCTGGTCCCACCATAGTATTCAACTGTAAAATTACACATACACTGTATTTGTTGTAATTTTTTAACATAAGTAGGCAGCAATTTGGATACCGGTAATTGAATGAGTATGAAAAGTCAACGGATACTATATAAATACAGGGAAATTTTGCCTCCATTTTATTTTCAACCCTTTCGCCCATGACACAAGTAGTCAAATTTTAGACAAAGTAATTGTGAAATGGTGAAAATAACACTATAAGCATTATAAAAATGGGCAATTAGAATCAGACAGTACAAACCAGCATAGTGAGGAATCCCAGATACTCGTCGGCTTCCTCTTTGTTGTCCATGTTGGGATGTTGACAGATTGGACAACAGAGGTTCCTCACATGTTTCTCTCTAATGTTCAACTCAAAATAACTCTTCATGCAGTCAAAGCAGATCTTACATGGGCAGTTCAACGTTCTTATCTGTGAGGAGAAATAATCAGAAAAGTTCCTTATTAAAGAGAAAAACTATAATAACCCAGTCACACAGAACATTGTAAGTGAACAACGCTATAATTCACCACTAGGAAGAGCAATTCCCAACATTCATATCCATAACCTGGTACATATTACATGTATTTATTATAAAATATACCAATGAAGTGCAAAGAAAGTTTTATCAGGCTTTGTGCATTATCGAAGTCAATTTAGTTGGTGGCAACTTTAGAAATTCAATTTCAATTTACAAAATAAATAATATGGAAAAAATTTTCCCAACAAATTTGTTGTAACTAGGCAGTACTTGCCTTCCCCTGGACAAAAGTTGGTGAACAGTATGTGCTAAGAAAAGTCTATGTTGCAAACACTTCATATGACAAATTATCATGCTACTCTAATGTAATCTTCATCCACTACATAGGATACATCTATAACTTTACCTTACTCATGGGGAAGTAGGAGAAGCAGCATTGACACTCCTGCTGTAGGTAGACCAGAGAACTCTGGCGATCCCCGCAGTTATACACAGCCTCCACAATGTCCTCCAGTGTGGCCTCCAGATTGTTCCGCGCCACATCCTGATCTAGAATCTTCAGCACGGTCTCCGCTCGCCCCCAGCTCTGTAGCTTACCTTCCACCATAATCATCCGAGATCGTCTCTGTAAAAAGAACATGCATTTTGTACTCAACAAACTTTACTTGGCTTTAAACAAAGGGTAATTATTTTCTCGTGAATTTTCTGAATAACAGGTGACAGCTGAATTCACTTGGGGGGGGGGGGATTTTCTTTCACATTTTTGCTAAACACAGAGTCAGAAAATACAGTGTATGTCAATCCCATATCTTTCATATATTACATTTAATAAAATCAAGATCTTACATCTGAGCTGATGTCTTTGTTGCGGATCATCTCCAGGAAGTGGCCGTGTCTGAGCACGCTATTGGTGACACTCATGCAGGCATCTTGGACATTGGACACTTCCTGAGCCTCACTTTCACACTGCTCATTGTCGTCGGCTAGAACATTGCCATTCTCAAACTCCCATAAGTGATCTATGAACTGCTGAAGTCTGTTGGAGTTTAAGTGATCCAAAGCTATGTCCAGTTTTCCTTCAGCTATCAACATGGCCTGGAGAATTTCCTCTCTTGGAAAGTTGTCAGCCTTACATATTTCTTGGTACTGCAAAAGAAATTAAATAGAGTTAAAGAGATGACATTATACATGTATATTTCTATATCATACTGTATCAATACATCTAAGAAAATGCTGAGGTTACTCTTTCAAAATTTACAGAATGAAATTTAAACAAAAAAAAAATCACAATTGCTTGACTAGTCATACCAGCTTGCATCTGTTTGCTGTACAGATATTCACGGCCATTTGAACATCTCCTTTGGTTTGCTTCAGAGAATTCTTGGCTTCCTGGTCAGACAGCTCTCCCACCTCGTTTTCATTCATGTCGGCCCCCGCCTTGGCGACTTTAGCTGTGACAGTTTTCACCCTGTTTATCCAGATCTGTTTCAGCCATTGAAGAGGCAGTAACTGTTCTCCTGAACTCAGCTCTACTGCAAGCTCCCCCTCTTCTGTGTCAAATCCTTCCTTTTCAGCCTCCTGCATTAAAAGAGGATATACATGTACGTGTATTGACATATAGCTGTACAATTCCTTAACTAAAGAATTTTCAATCCCCAATAAAGACAATTTTTCAAAAACATTAATTCAATTCAACCATGTGGTCGATGAAATAAAATGAAAAAAATTGAAGTTTATCGATAGAACACAGGTAGAGAGATGAACAATCTCTTATCAAACAAGTTCACTTGTGCCCTCAGTCAATGTTATTTCAATTTATAAATGGAAAACCAAATATCATTATACAAAGAGTACCTTAAAAAATCGGACCACTTCCTTGGCTTCAATGTCCATCAGCTCCTGCATTCTCTGTTGGTTGAGTTTTTCCATGGTCTCTGTAAAGCTCAGTCCTTGTTTGTTCCTGGGAGATTTGCTGAGGGGTGCAGCCTGCTCTGCTTCTTTTTCACCAGATACCGGCACGGGAACGGCTAACTTTTCCTTCTCTTCTTGTTTCTGATTAGCCGGGCTTGGTGTCGTGATTTTAGCACCAGCCTGAGCTGATGGAGGGGAACGACTGACCGCTCTCTGTAACTGCTCTATCAAGGCCTGAGGAGATAATAAATTCTCTGCTTCTCTTTGTTTCTCTTGTTTCTGCTGCTCTTCAAAGCGGCGTTTGGCTTCTTGTTTCTCAAGATAAATCTGAAAATTCAAAGTCGTAATTAAAAAAACTTTTATTGGTGCATTCAGGAACAGCATTTTACCTAAGTTCACTCATTTTCCTAGATGAAATAAAACTTCAGTGAAACTCACCTCATCATAATGTTGCATGATTTTGTTCCCAGCAGTTGAAGCTTCTTTCATAATTTTCGACACCTCACTATCTGTACCTGTGGCAGACGACTGCTTCTTCTCAACAGAGGGAGCTGGTGGCCTCTCTGGTTTGTTCAGATCATTTATGGCATTATGATCAGTTTCTGAATGCCCTGAAGGTACACCACCTTGCTGAATAAACTTAGGATTATCACTAGTTTTGAAGCAGACGGCACAAACCCTTGTGTCTGGAACATTATGGAATGTGCAATGTTGACAGATCCATGGTGATCCATACCCCTCAGACTTGGGTTTGTGGACTGGTGGCTGTGGTTCTTTAGGGATTCGTGGTGGAATGGGGGCAGGAGGGGATTCCAATGGAGCCACTAGGTCTGCTGGGAGGGGATAATTTTGGTACAGTGTTTTAGCAGTCACAGGCATGTTATGGAATTTTGGAGGAGGTGGAACTTGCTGTGTATTCACAGTTTTCGACTGGTCTATTGCAGACACACAGCTTGCATGTCTCTGGTGAGATTCATTTGCCTTATTTTCCTGAAAAACTTTCCTTTCCTCCATTAAAGGTAAGGCTGGTCTTTCAGGGGGTGTCTGTCTGGCTTGCAACTTTCCAGAACTTTCTTGAAACATGGACTGGCTTCTTCTGTGTTCCGCATTATGTTGAGTAGCAGGGGTTTTAGGTGACTGAGTTTGTGGTTGATTTGCATAAACAAAGTTTCCCTGCATTTGGGGTGATACTTTTGGAGTTCTTGGAGAATTCTGTGCTGGGGGGTAATTCTGTACAGGGTTGTGTGGTGATGTACACTGAATGCTTTGATCAGTTGGAGGAAAATAAAGGGAATGCCTTGGGTGATGCCCATAAAACGAAGGAGGACTCTGCATGGTGTGTAGCACGTTAATGCTCGGACTGTTCTGGTTGTCACCAGAATGAACAGGTGGACTTTGTCCGTACACTGGCTGATTGTTTTGATATGAATTTGGGACAAAAATGTACATTCCACTATGAGGTGGATTTAAACTTGGAGAATTGACTGAGGGCCCAATAGGAAGACTGCTCAGTGCCATCTGGTGTTGGTAATTTAGGGGCCATTGTGGGGGGAAATACATCTGATCCTTCTGTATCAGAACTTCATCCAATTCTTTCTCATATTTCTCCAACTCAATCTTTTCTCGTTGCAAAAATCCTTTTTTTCTAAACAAGCGCCCATATTCTTCATCTTCATAAAATGTAGCATTCTGAGCAATACATTCTTGGATCCTCTCCTCGATTAGATCTATTTCTTCTTGTAATGTCTCCAGATGAATCTCAATCTTGGACTTCCTTTTATACATGTCTGGAATGGCCAATATCTTGTCTAGAAGTTTGGAAGTTGGGGGACCCCCAGGGGCAGCCCTCTGCATGCTGGGTGGTGTCATGGAATGAAGATCTCGCGGTAAGGTGCCATACCCCATCTACAATATTGATATCATTCAGTAATGCAACATCATTAAACTCAATACAATTTCGTCATGGTAAAAGCTGGAATATGAAATAAGACAGGATTTTGTTTTTTGTTAAATACATACATTCTGATTTGTATTTGAATCATGAGATATCCTGGGTAGGGTATGAGCCTGTGCTGGCTGCATGGTATTCATCCTGTAAAAATAAGAAAAGGTACAACATTGATAAGGAAGTAGAGGGTTCAGAATATATTTCTTTCATTGATAAAACGGGTAAGGTAGCGAATTCATTTTTGTGTTTTCAATTTCTGCGGTTACACTATATCGCAAAAAATTATTTACGGGGTACAACTTATATTGATTCATCAAACTTTAAGATTTATTAGACCACTGCCATGATTAGGTTTTGTAAATTCATTCAGGCACATGAATGAAGCGTGCATGAGAACAGGTATTGCACTATTAAACTTGATTAAACTTGATTAGACTACTAGCTTTTACTCTTTGTAAAAAAATGCCTAGTACCGAAAATAATTATTATATAACAGAACTTGTCCACTCAAACAACAATTAAAATCTTCATTCTAACACCACAGACATTCATTTTATATGATCTATCAAAATAATTTTCATAAATATATAGATAATGATAATTAATAATTAATCTAAAATACACTTAAAATTAATTGCCATCAAAATTTGCGGGAATTTCATTTTATTACATAATCAACCATCACAAACGTTACACGCATTTAACTAACAATGCCACTCGTGTGACTTGTATGAAATTCACAAGACAATCAAGCCATATTGTATACACAAGCAGTGATATTAATCACAGTCTCAAGACAAAACACAAGATTGAAAAGTGGGAAATAAGAAAGAAAGAGAAACTATCGTATTTTGTTTGTAGCTATAAGAATTTCGATGTCACACGAATTTTCTCGCTAACGAAGACACGTCCACACATTTGTCTGCAGACGCACCACTAATCATACTTGCATGTATAAAATAACTGAAGGCATATTTTTAAAATATTTTGCGATTGTAATTTTTGCGGATTTGCCCTATCCGCAAATTTCTGCAAAAATTGGACAACCGCAGAAAATACCCGTTACACGGTACTTCGATTTCTGCTCTATTTATCCATTTACATGTATTTAATTTGTCTTTTTAGATACAAATACTTTATAAATCAAGATAAAAAGTTTTACTACAAAAATCATAGGGGTATTTTACTCAATAAGTACAAGTTAAATATGCCTACCCAGACATCAGTCTTTCTAGGTGATGACCTTCCTCATGTAGAGGCGCGTGGGCGGCGGGTGGCACACTAGATAGGCCAGTGTTGGTATTACTGGTAGCCACTGTATACGCTGGCTGGTTCAGATTCTCACGGGTGTACGGAGCCAGGTTCTGGTTCAGGGCTGGTTCAGCGGTCGGGTAGGAGGCCCGGTTCTGGATCGTCTCTTGTGGCATCTCCGGGGGTAGTTCTTGTGTCTGTTGAGAACCAGGGCTGGGGTTCAGGGCATGGCTCTCGACTGCTGACAGATATTCATGTTCGTCGGATTTCTGTTCAGATCCCGACATCTGAAAAATGAAATTCAAAGAGAATGAATAAACACAAAATCATCTTGTTAAATTCAATAGCTATATGTAAAATTTTATCAAACTTTCAAAATCAATTCTAAAAATTTTCCATTACCAGGTAAAATACAGACAGAAATAAGACAAGAATTAATTTACACATACCGGTACATGTATCATATAACAGATTTTCAAACTTTTACCCGTAGTTTTTGTCGATCATGATTTTTGCGTTTTGGGTGTTGATGCCATCTTTCATCACAAGCTGAACATAGCTGTTTATTATCACAGCGTCCACACATAAACATGGCAACGGACTGACCACAGATGTCACAAACTGGCAAAGGAAGATTATCATTCATAACAGGAAATGAAAGTGCAAAATATATTTCAACTATATACTTGTGGTTTACTGGAAGAGCATAAACTATTTTGGAATTTATAGAAATTTTTTGTTTTTTGTTGCTTTTGGTTTGTTTGGTAGTTTGGTTTTCTGTTTTTTTGGTTTTTTTTATGAAACAGCTTTTTATTAACTTCAAAAAATTTATCCATTTGTTACCAGACCATTTGCTTGGAGACTATTGATGCATATGTATATTTAAGAATTTCTTAAGATGAATCTTTAAATCCACAGTATTCAGATTTTACCTATACTACTCTGAGGTGATTCTACTTCACTGGAGCCTGTCACCTGACCAGACTTGTTGGACTAGAAATTCAGAACAAAAATATGTAATAATTTTAAAATATCTTTTTTTTTTCAATTGTTCCTCAATGAATTACCTAAAAATTACCTAACAAAGAAATAAGGAAGCCTGTGATTTGTGAAAAGATTTCAAATTAAACATCATCTACCTGTGAGGAATTTTGGTTGGAGTTTCCTGATTCAGAAACAGTCTCTCTGATTGGTTGTTGAATTTGATTTGGAATGTCTTGTTTCATTGGCTGACTGTCGGTGTATGAAGATCCACTTGATGAAGATCTCTGCTGATTTGTCAGTCTAGATTCTGATGATGATGATGACGATGGTGTGTTTTCCAAAGGCTTCTGTGAAAAAAAGAAAATGAATCTCAAAAACAGTTTGCATTTCACTTTTAAAAGCATGACAGTTGTAAACTAAACTAGAACTGTCCAAATGGGACAAAATACCCCCCGCTGGGTTTTTCAGAAGTGCTAAATCATGAATATTATATGTCTCTAAGAGAAGAGAGAATTAAAACACTTTTAGTGCAAATGTAATTGCTCATTATATTTTTTATAAATGAAACAAAGGCGCAGCCTAATAAAAAAAAATAGACTAAATATACGGACTAGACACGAATTATGAACTTTTTCTGTCAGTGACCTTGAACTTGGTTCAAAGTCATGACACAACCTCAGGTCATAAGCAATGTTTGTGTGAAGTAGTAGATTCAAGTTTTTCCATAATAAAGAAAGATATGGACCGGACACAAATTATAAAATTTTTTCTTCCAGTGACCTTGAAATTCCCCAAATGACCTTGACCCAAGGTCATGACACATCCTTAGGTCATGAGCAATCTTTGTGTGAAATTAAAACCTACCAAGTTTATCCATAAGAAAGATATGGACCAGACACAAATTATGAATTTTTTTCTTCCAGTGACCTTGAACTTCCAAAAATGACCTTGTTTCAAGGTCATGACACATCATTAGGTTATAGGCAATCCTTGTGTGGAGTAGAAGATTCTAGTGTTTCTCTGTAAGAAAGATATGGACTGGACACATTTGCACAGACAGACGGACAGACAGCTAGACAGACGGACGGATGGACAGATGGACAAACGGACAAGGTGATTCCCATATATCCCCCCAAACTTCGATTGCGGGGGGTATAATAATTAATTAGCATACATGTGATAATTTCTAGACCCAAATATGTATTGTACAGCAGTCTTCAAAATACTGGAATTTGGGTGAAAATACTGTTACATTGCTAATCAAAAAACTGTACAAAATATCATCAATTGACCAAAAAATCAATGCAAGCTGTTCATTTTTTAATAATAAATTTCTAATCAATTAATGTACAGTTGCACCACTGCAAAACATATTTTATGATTTATTACTCATTTTAAGAAACTCTTGAAGAAAACTTGGAATTTCCGCAATCACTAGTAATAGTAGTATGCTAAATGCTGAATTTAACTCGGTAAAAGGTACAGTGTTTAAAAACAGATTAATGCAAAGAGTCTGGTCGTCTTCATTCAGCTGCATTTTTTAACTGGTACTAAAAAAGTATTTCTCTTAATTTGGAGATTTCTGGTGTTGCGAGAGCAGGAATGAAAGAAAAATGGCTGTTTCCGGTAAACATTTCAAAATACGGTACAAATTTTCATTTCCTGTGAATTTTTGTGTACCGCCAGGACACCATGATTGGGGGTAGAAAATACGGGACATTTCCTGTACAGCCTGTACATATCACATGTATGAATTAGACCTGTTAACTCACCAGTTTTCTCATTGGTAGATTCCCTTGCTGAATCCAATTCTTTTGGAATCTTGCCACATCAAGCCTACAAATAGAATTCAAATTACACACACATATTCATACTATTTCACTGTATACAAATCAAATAAATCTTAATCATATCTTTTAAATAAACAAGAGGCCCATGGGCCACATCGCTCACCTGAGAAGCTTTGACCATTCTGTTCTTTACCAGATTTCACCCTTGTTATACATAATGCATCCCCACCCTACCCCACTGATCATAATTTAGACATTTTGAAATTTACACTATACCCCATGATCCTTCCATGGGCACATATGTTTCAGCTTTTCTGGCCCAGTGGTTCTTGAGAAGAAGATTTTCAAAGATTTTTCCTATATATTTCTATGTAAAACTTTGATTCCCCATTGTGGCCCCACCCATCCCCCGGGGGTCATTATTTGAACAATTTAGAATCTACATTATACCAGGATGCTTCCACATAAGTTTCAGCTTTTCTGGCCCATTGGTTCTTGAGAAGAAGATTTTCAAAGATTTTTCCTATATATTTCTATGTAAAACTTTAATTCCCCATTGTGGCCCCGCCCTTCCCCCGGGGGTCATGATTTGAACAATTTAGAATCTACACTATACCAGGATGCTTCCATATAAGTTTCAGCTTTACTGGCCCAGTAGTTCTTGAGAAGAAGATTTTCAAAGATTTTTTCTATATATTTCTATATAAAAATTTGATTCCCCATTGTGGCCCCGCCCTACCCCCGGGGGTCATGATTTGAACAATTTAGAATCTACACTTCCCCAGGATGCTTCCACATAAGTTTCAGCTTTACTGGCCCAGTGGTTCTTGAGAAGAAGATTTTTTAATGACCCCACCCTATTTTTGTCTTTTCTTGATTATCTCCCCTTGCGAGGGGATATGTCCCTTCATTTTAACAATTTAAATTCCCCTTTACCCAAGGATGCTTTGTACCAACTTTGGTCAAAATTGGCCCAGTGGTTCTTGAGAAGAAGTCGAAAATGTGAAAAGTTTACAGACGGACAGACAGACGGACGGACGGACAGACGGACGGACGACGGACAAAATGTGATCAGAAAAGCTCACTTGAGCCTTCGGCTCAGGTGAGCTAAAAAAAATTTCCCCACATTTCAAACTTACACTGTGTCATGAGGCAACAGACTCTCCACCCTCTCTGGGTAGGGGTGATAATTTGTCAAGTAAGCATCCAGCTCCCTCTTCCCACACATAATGTCTGCCAGCAATCGTAACAGTTGATTGTTGTCCGTTTGACCAGAATTAGGAAACTGTAGCCCATCTTGAATGGCTTCTGTGTAGCCCATTAGCTTCATAATTTCTCTTCCTCCCTTTAATTGCAGAGAGAAAATTGCAAAACTGTTAAATTATGAAAGAATCAGAAAAATATTATACATTAAGACAAATGTTTGAATTAGAGGAGCACGATGATGCTATACTTGGCATAAAGCCAAAAGGTTTCTGCATGATTTTAAGCCCTTCTTTAAAGTGTAAGTCACATGACCCAGAAGATTACTTCCTCTTTTTGACCAGATTCTGACTTCAGAACATCATCGAATTATGCTATTATTATTTCCATACATTGGCAATTTTTGAAAACTAAAAATATAGCTTATAACATGTATTTTGCAATAATCCAATTTTTCCTGTGATTTTAGAAAAAATAAACTAGAACTGTCCAAACAGGACAAAATACCCCCCGCTGGGTTTTTCAGAAGTAAGTTTTTCCTTAATAAAGATATGTATCAAACATGAATTATGAAATTTTTCTTCCAGTGACCTTGAACTTCCCCAAATGACCTTGGGTCAAGGTCATGACACACCCTTGGGTCATGGGCAATCTTTGTCTGAAATTAGAACCTACCAAGTTTATCCATAAGAAAGATATGGACAGGACACGAATTAGGAAATTTTTCTTCCAGTGAACTTGAATTTCCCCAAATGACCTTGGGTCAAGGTCATGACATACCCTTGGGCCATGGGCAATCTTTGTGTGAAATGAGAGCCTACCAAGTTGATCCATAAGAAAGATATGGACCAGACACGAATTATGAAATTTTTCTTCAAGTGACCTTGAACTTCCCCAAATGACCTTGGGTCAAGGTCATGACACACCCTTGGGCCATGGGCAATCTTTGTGTGAAAGGAGAACCTACCAAGTTTATCCATAAGAAAGATATGGACCGGACACGAATTATGAAATTTTTCTTCCAGTGACCTTGAACTTCCCCAAATGACCTTGGGTCAAGGTCATGACACACCCTTAGGTCATGGGCAATCTTTGTGTGGAGTAGTAGATTCTAATGTCCCTCTGTAAGAAAGATATGGACCGGACACGATTGCACAGACAGATGGACAGATGGACGGACGGACGGAGAGACAGACGGGAGCCGGACAAAATGTGATCAGAAAAGCTCACTTGAGCTTTCAGCCCAGGTGAGCTAATAAAAAAAATAGACTAGCTCAGATAATAATAACTGAAATGTTTACAATATTCAAAATATAGATGACTTAAATAAAATACTGGGAGAATAACAAACATAGGACTACTCAAACGTAGATTAGCACTGTTTGGGAATATTTTCGCAAAAATTGTGATATGCAGAAAAAAAACACTGCTCTGTGCACGTGGTAAATGATTAAATAAATATGATGACATACCTTTATACAGTCCACCCTGTCCCTGAAGATGTTATTTGAGAACTTGACGATCCTCCACATCTGTGACCTCTCTGATGGAGGCTTCAGAAGATGTCTGCAATACTTCTCCAGAATGTTCAGAGCCACTCCAATCATCTTAATTCCTTCCAGAAACTATTAAAAATAGAAAACAAACATTAGTAATGCCTAACATTTGCAACAAAAAAGGTTCTTATTGTAAAGATTCAGATTTAAATTCATCAATTCCAAATCTAAAAAAAATTGAAATTAAATAAAAATTAAATTCTTCTAACTTTTATTTAAGTCATGAAATTATTGATTGATAATGGTGCAATATTTACATTATTTGTTAACCCTATTAGATTTCCCTACATTGCTATTATCCTTGAAGAGTTGTTCCATGGGTAGCAGCTGGTACCTCTGTCCCACAGGACAGTTGACACAAATGAGGCCATCGATGAAGTGAGCGATGTCCTCCCCCCTCGATAAAGAATCGTAGATCCTCTGCTGTAATTCTCTGATATCTGACCGCAACTCTCCCATTGTGTGTTCCTATCTTGTGACTGATTTCTACAACAATGACAACAAAATACTAGTAAATAGACATTTATACAGTCTCATTCTAAAGTAGTCACATGATTTTTTATCTGCTAAATATATGTTAATTGCGAGAAGGTCTAATTTTAAAATATAAATTTAGAAATGAAACATGCATCATCAAATAAGGAAATAAATCACCGACCAGTTGCAAAATATAACACAAGTACATCAATACTGAAATTCATGTGACTCATTCACATTGATGTATTGTTTAGGGTTATAAGCAACAACAAAAATAAATTCCTCTCAAATGCATTATTTATTAATTTTAGTGGCAATATCCTCATGGAAGTAATTACTTATAGCAGATTAAGGTCCACATGTGTTAATTCTGTCTCGTTATCCATAAATTAATTTACAAGTACTGAATCCGCCCCCTCATCATGCGCAGATCTCATCATCTGAAGAGTCTCTGCATGTTATCATATCATTGTAATATGGTATTGATTCTATTTTAAATGTACCATTACAAACATAAACAAATGACTCTATGTTTTTTTTTTCACAATAGGATCGATCTATATTGCAAAAATTCAAATACAGTATGTTAGTCAACTAACACATGTACTGAGCCATACAGTGTCACCATGCAATGTCATATGCATGGCATCAAAATCAATGTGGTACGTTATCATCAGGTTTAATTAATCTAGAATCATGTAACCAATTCCATACTTAAAAAGTCATTACCTGTGTTTCACGCCCATCTGTCTGGGTGGGGCAATATTTACAGTAAAAGAATACATTGACACACTAACCCAGCTTATAGAACAGATGACATGTAAACAGGAAGTTGTTTTTTACTTAAATTTCGGCTAAAATGTTTCAAATTACAACTGCACAACATGTATTCTTACAATATTTAAATTCCTGGTGATCATACCCCACTACGATGTGGTTTTCCGTGTTACTTTTGAAGTACTTTCATTTTCCTATGACTCATACGGTAAGCAATGCGGATACTAATTACTTCCCTTTAATGGGACTCTTTTGTGTACACATGGAAACTGTTTACAAATGGCGGACCAATTTGCAAAATGACGTGAAAAAAGTTTTAGTGAAAAGAAGCTATATTTGCATTTTGGATATTTTGTGAACATGCATTTAAATGAACACTGATAACAGGGGGTATAAGAAATTGACAACACCATCTTAGGTGACGAGAAGGAGTAAAAAATAGGTGCATTGAACAGTGTTGAAGTTGAAAATCCTGAAAGGTGCGTGTACGATGTTTATTTTTAAGAATACAAAATTGTTAGGAATAAAATACAACTTTCGAAAGTTTAACTTTAATTTTTTGTCCGAAAAGAAAATAGAGGAGCAGAAACATTATAGTGAACAGGTGCATACATACATACATCATGTAATATAAAAATCCAATTCAATTTTAAAACTTCATCTTATGCAGTGCTAATGTCAAAAACGGGATATAAAATTGTGAAAAAAAATTCGAAGGTTAAACTAAAGAATGAATGCGTTAATTTGCAGCAGAATTAAGGATGGTTTGCCACACAAAATTTATACACAATTAGTCAATAAAAAAATATGGTTTGACCAAGGCTCTGTTTACAAACGAACTTATGACAAAAAACTTAAAAACAAACTACATGTTGTTTGCAGTAGAGCTATCCAGACCAACCCATATAACCCAACTATAACCAAACACCTGTACGTCTTCCCATAATTGGGGAGAGCGGGCCAAAAACCCTAACAAAGATGCTGTCTCCCTCACACATGAGTTATTTAAATTTCAGACAACACTATGGCATCCACACTAGATTTTGCTGGTTCAGCCAGTAGAGCCTCCCAGTTTCAGACTCAGATTAGCAAAGAAGATTTACTGAAAACATTGGGAAATCAACTTAATATGGACTTTTCTCAGTATGAAAGATGGACTCGGAAAACCAAAGTCACAAGGCCTCCACCTCCTCCTAAAGATGGTAATACAAAATAGTACATGTGTTCTTCCGGAAAAAAAACCTTAAAATGTGCTATCTGGATAAAAAAATAAATATAAGAAATTAAGGTATTAAAAGAAATATTGTTTTAAAAAAAACCAATAGTGCTATTAGCTAGGATAACTATATAATGAATAAAGAAAAAAATGTAAATTGATTGGTGATATATGAAGCAAATTAAAAAAAAAATCTATTTGTAAAATCAGGTGGAAGTAGAATGTTGATGGTAGGAAGGGTCAAATCAGCTGATTCCTGTCTTCATGGTAAAAGTCAGAGTCACACAACATACAGGGAGAAAAAAGAGGCTGCAAAAATGTTAGAAGTTAATAAAGAGAGGAATGAAAGGATCAAAATATTGGAGGTATGTTTTCACATTGGTACAGCTTACTATAAATGTTTTATATTTATAGCATGTGTGATATTTGGAGGATATTGATTTTTGAGCATGTAAGAGTTAATTTGAATTAGTGCATTTCTTATTGTTCTTAATATTTATGGGTATATGTGCATGACATTTAGCATTGTACTTGAATTAGTGGATGTTGCTTTCCGCCAAAGGTGTTAAAAGAATACAAATCCAAATGTAATATGTTTACAGTATTCTGAAATTGAAATTCCCTGAAATCTCAGACTCAGCTCAGAGTTTGACACTAATGCACGTCCGACGAACCCTGTCCCTCTTATGGCATGAAAAAAACCCTTATTTCAGTCTTTCAAATAAATATTCTAAAAACTTTTAAAAGAAATAAAATTGTGCATTAGATTTTAGATTTCATGTTGTCCTTTTTTCTGTAATTTTCTAGTTGCGGATCAGGACCAGGAAGAAAACATTGGAGGAATATCAGAAAAGAAGTCGGGAACTGTATCCTATCATTCTAGCTTAAAATTTCTTTAATTAGAGTCAAACCTCATTATCTAGAACTTTGAGGGACTGAGAAAAATTAAAATTTAACATATCAGAGGATTCAAAATAACAAACTTTAAAAACAAAAAGATGATTTAAAGGACTGTGAAATCATTTTGACATATTCATGAAATAGAGATACTATCAAAGTTTGAAGTTTAAATGTCACTTGTGGTGTTTAACCTATCATGACTGAGTACTAGTAATCTAGCTTTATAGAAAACAAACATCAGTGTATCAATACCATAACATACCGTATAGCGGGTTTTCTTGGCTGGTGTAAAATTTGGCATTTTGCCTGCTCAAAAGTATGCCAATAATTTTGCCGTAATTTATTTTAGTGGGCACAGGGATTCAGGTCTTTGCATATGAACACTAAGAAGAGTACTGAATATCTTAGCGATTAAAGTTTTAGTGGGCTATCATCAAAATGCCAGAATAAGCCAAAATTAGCACCCTGCTAAAATATCCTGCTATACAGTACTTATACTTTATTATAAGAAATATATTCACATCACAACTGCTTTTCTTAACTATATGTGTAGCTTAGAACAAAATATGCAATTGAAAGAGAGCATTGAAAGTGATGAATATGGAACATTAAATGCTGTGAAAGGCTTACTTAGAAGATATGAAAAATACAGGGTAAGGAAAATTTGGTCAGATGGGTGTCTTTATAGATTTGCTTTGGATAAAGGTATATATTTACAAAATTAAAAAAAGTGGTTTTAAAAATATATGTATACTTGTTGTTTGACTTTTTAAGGGTGGTATAACAACTTTAAACTCCAATTTTGTGAAAGAATATGAAGCAGCTGTGAAAGATTTAGAAGAAACAAAAAGGAAAACCAACTTACAACTTCAAGGTAACATCATGACCATTATACAAACGTAATACATAAATAAATCTCTGTTTTAATCATATAAAAATGATACTATACAATTAATGACTTCAGTGTAGGTCAATATGTGGTTATAGGGACTCATGGCAATTGATATTGACCGAAGACACAGAAAGTGATAGCGACCGAGCCTGTGAGGTCGCTATCATTCTCTGTGTCATTTTCTGTGTTATTTGAGGTGACATGCTTTCACGTCGCTATCGCAAAAGGAGGAATATCATGTGACGTCCTTTCGGCCAATGAAAGTTATGATAATAATTTTCTTATATAATATATGTATTTTCAGCTATTTAATAATTGATACAATATTTCATGTTTCACATTAAATGCATACTTAATTTACATGTATTTGATGGTTTTCAATCACCATGCTGTAATTTTTATATGAATTTAAATTAACATAGGCATATATTTCCACTTTTGCTGTGCTTTTGTGCTGAGAGTATTGTTTTCTTTTCTTTAGAATTGAGCGAGAAAAATTTGGAACTAGATTTATGTCTTACTGAAAAACAAGAAGAATTGCACACACTTATGAGTTATAAAGTAAGTATTAACTTGTAACTTAAGTATACAGAGTTATTTTCGCCCTTTCACACTTGCAAACAACTTTGCTCCATCATAAAATCATCCAGTCAAAGTTCTGTTAAAGATATTGTACGGTATTCTTTAAATTTGCCCCATTTTAAATTTGCCCAACCGAAGGTACTAGGCGAAAGGGGCGAAAATAAAAAGGGGGCAAAATTTCCCTGTATAGTACATCTTTTGTAAATTATACTTTAATTATTCTACAACTAAAACAATGATCAAATTGTACTTCATTTATAAACTGGTCAACTGATTTTATTTAGGAAAAAATGAAGCTTTATCTGTTAATTTAAACTTAAGGACAACAAACTGAAAAGACAATTGGGAAAAAATACCATTATGAATGAAAGAAAAAGTTGCATTAATTTCACTTACTATATAAATAAATGTTTCGCTTTCTTCTATAAATATTTGGAAACATTATTTATAAATTTATTCATTATTATTAAAATGAATCTTACTTAATTTGCTGGGATTTTTTGAAAATAACATTCTAAATATACACTTGTATTGGTTTTATTAATTTTAGGACAAGGAATATCCTGTAAAAGCTATGAGGATTGCCACACTTCAAAAGGAAATTCAAAACCTGAAAATAGCCAATCAGGTAAGAAGGAAATTCAAAAATTTTAAAAGCCAGTCAGGTAAGAAGGAAATTCAAATTAAACCTTAAAATAACCAATCAGGTAAGGAGGAAATTCAAAATCTTATAATTAGGTATTTACAACTGCACTGTATAATCACTTTTGTTATTCTTATGTATAACTTGAATACATCACATTCTATAATTTCAAGAGGTTAGTAACAAATGATTCCTATTTGCTAATACATGTACCTAATAAGAGTAAATCTATCAAATCTCTGTAGGCTAAACTGTTAATATTTTTTATCTCAATATGGGATAAATTAATCCATCGTATTTGATATTCAATGATCACAGGTCACTAAATATTCAAATATATCTCACCCAATGATTCCTTAAGGATAAACCTAAAAAATTCTATACCTTGTCCAGTAAAGACAGAAAGCAAAAAAGTAAAATAGTAATTCATGTGTTACTTGTGAATTCAACCATTCTTTAAAATTGACTATGTTTATTCAAAAACATTGTTATTTTGCAGGAAGACCAAGAGGACCTAGAACACATAGTATTCACAGAGTTAGAAAAATACGAGAAGGAACAAACAAAAACAGCCAGTCTCCTCACCAAAACCATAACTGAGGTAAGTGTCATTATGTACAGTAAAACCTCATTATCCTGAACTCAATGGGACTGAGAAAAACTGAGAGATCAATCTAATTCAATGAGAATCTTTACGCTCCTGTATTTTGTTGTGATGCTGTAAGTACTGTAAGGATCTAATTCTATTTAGACTGAGATATTCAAGGATTTGAGATAAAAATGGTGAAGAAGAAGGGTTGTAACTTCAAAATCACTTTTACATATCCAAGACATTCAAATGTTTGTGTTTGAGAAACAAAAGTTAATTTGTAATTCCTTGAAGCAGTTCTACTCTGGGCAGCTTCAAAGAAACCTTTCTTGATATAATCTTGTCATTAAATGTAGGTTTGGCTTGTTAAACAGGGAACTAAAATTCAGTACACTTATCTGCATGCAAATACAAAGTAAACTATGAATTGATTTATTTTTAATCCTATATATTTTTTTTACAGGGATTTAATATTGCTAAGCTACTATCTAGAATCCAGGTTTCAATATATTTCATGTAATTTTGTAGCTTTTGAAAGATTCTCAATTTTTTTTAATCTTATATGCATATTTTTTTCCCAGAGGGCAATTGCCAGGATGCATCCAAGTCTGAAAGATATGGCACTTCAGAATATGGTGATGGCAAAGGTCAGTTCACTAAAGAGGGTGAAAATTGTAGACAAGCTTAACATTTGATTGTACATTTACTAAAAAGCATACAGCTTAACACATTTAGAGAACTAAAATTATAAATTTGTTTAATGGAAGCATGCAGAATTCATGGTACAGAATTTGATTTTTTGGTTGGATGTTATATTTCCATTCTGTCAGGTACAGGCCATAATGTTGTGGAAAACTGGAAGTTTATACTTGACATAAAAATAACTTTTGTTCTAAGGTATCAGTAGTGTGCCATGGCCTTGACTTTAGGTCATTCCAGCAAGTTCAAGGTCACTGGCAGAATAAGTGAAAACTCTATGCTGTCCACAACTTCTTAATGAAGAAATATATGATATTTATCATGACCTTAACCCAAGTCATTTGCTTTGTCTTATGAATTACTTTATCAACAGGAAATAGAGGTACATAAGAAAGAGCAGGAGGAACTGATCAAAGTCAATGAAGCTCTTGAGGCAGAAGTGAAAAAATTACTACGGGATCCCAAAACTAACACAAGGCTTCAGATGTTTCCAGAATTTTTCCCCAACAGGCAAAAGTAAGTGATTTTTCTCTAGAAACATGCAGCCAAAGAAATGAAGTTGACTCTCTTTTCTGTATATATTGATTATATGTACATGTATTGTAAACTTTTGTACATTTATAATTATGGTCTTTTTATGATTCATTTAATCATTCTTTGGATTTCTTTTTGCAGATGCACTCCTGATATGGAAGTTGTATTGGATATTCCTACACAAGAATGGCTGCCTTTATAAACTCTAAGTCAGTTGAATGATTCAGATGTATTATTATTCTGAACATATGTTAATCCGTAATTTGCCTTATATATTTTTTTGTTTTGTTTATACATAGATTTTGTTATCATGTGATGAAAATAAATTTCATTCAAATTTTCTAATTCTGAATTATTTTTACAGGGCTGTTAATATTGATATGGAAATTTTTGAGTTATGTAAGATTTTTGTTTTAAAAACACACAGATTGGCCTTCAAAAATTAGCTTTCTGTTTAATATTCTAATTTTAAATTCTTTTTACATCTTATTTAAAGCAATGATAGGTTTACATTTTTTACGTTTTTTTGTTTTTACCAACTGTGACTTTTTACCTACAAGTTTGAACTTTAATTGTGGTCCCACCCTACCTCTGGGAGGTCATGATTTGTACACTATTTGAGGCTTCCATATAAATATGACCAACCTTGGCTCTGCTAATTATATTCCCATGTAAAACTTTGGTTGTCCATTGTTGCCCCACCCTACTCCTAGGGGTCACGAATTTAACAAACTTGAATTTACACCACCTGAGGATACTCCCATATAAATATGAACAATCATGGTTTGGCACAAACTTAAATCTATTCCACATGAGAATGATTCTATCTAATTATAACTAATCATAGCTTTGCTGTTCCTGAGAAGATTTTTAAGGATTTTTCCTGTATCTTCCTAAGTAAAACTTAAAGGATCATTGTGGCCCACCCTACCCCTAGAGGTGCACATGATTTGAACAAACTTGAATCTACACTACCTGATAATGATTCCACATAAGTCTCTTTCTTGGGTCGATGGTTCTTAAAAGGATTTTTCAATGATGCCATTAATTTTTCACTATTTGTAATTATCTCCACTTAGAGGAGGATGTGGCCCTTCATTTGAACAAACTTGAATCCCTTTCACCAAAGGATACTCTGTGCCAAGTGTGGTTGACAATGACCCAGTAGTCCTGGAGAAGAAGACAAAATTGTGAAAAGTAATTATATTACACCAACGACAACAGACAAAATTTGATTAGAAAAGCTCACTTGAGCCTTTGGCTCAGATATGCTAAAAAGGGGCATTCCTGGCAAAAGATTAGCACCTCAAAATGTCATGGTATAATTATTATTTTTCTATGAAATGGCATATACACATGAATGAGTGCAAAAATGAATCTTTTTTTTTTCAGACTAGATCACAATCTTTTAATTTGATCTTTGCTCCATTTAAAAAAAAAAGATTATCCCTGAAGTATGCATAAAAGTACAGTGTATTCATATTTTGGTTAAAAACATGGAACAATGACTCATTATAACCCCCCCCCCCCCTAATAAAAAATATGACACATTATCTTTTTCTAGAAAATATTTGAAATCCATTTAATCAAGGGTCATTTCATAAGTCTGATTTACATGCCACTATTTTTCATGAACAATGTAGGATGGAAGTTTAAGGTGAACGTATTGGTAAAAGCATTGCAATGTGTTCACCATTTTTAATCAGATTCTTGGTATATCTGAGGACCCCTATATAAACGGCTGATTTAGTCAATGTTCAGTGTAATTTGTCAACACTGGTGTAGACAGATGTACATAATACCACACTCGGTAGCCATTTAAAATAACTGTATATTTCTTCTTATGCAGAAAAGTAAGATACCAAAGAAACCTACAATACGTGTAGGTGCACAGATCAGTGCAGTATACATAACAAATATAAATAAATTTAACTGCAATAAAATGTAAACAAAGGTAATGCAAGATAACCAGCACCAACATACGGGTTGCCATTCCATGCCAATACCCGTAACAATAAAGCAGTCAGGTGTAATAAGTGCGAAGAGTATACCCTGGTGCTGAAATTGTAGATAGTAATATCGAAATGGCATATACATGTACCTTTAAGTTTTTATGAGTCGTACATGTTCAGCTTTCAGTCAGACTCTAAAAAAAATCTGAAACCCAGGATTTTTATTGCTTGGGATTGAAGTGCAATAATACCACTTCTTTTCAACTTGTAGAACTGTCTGTTGAAAAAATTTCCCCCAGAAAAGTTTATATTTGAGAATGTCTTCATGTAATTCAATTCTTTATATTATAGCTTTTTCCCCTGCAATAGAACTGCTTTTGAAAACATACTGTATACAGAGTTATTTTCTCCCCGTCTTATTTTTGCTCTTTCACACCTATAAACAATTTTGTCCCAGTCTTGGTTTTCTGTAAATCCCACTTGTGTCTATGGCAAAAGGGGCAAAAATAAAACAGAGATAAAAATTTCACAATATACAGTAATAATTTAGTACTCAAAAACTAACATTCAATCAATTTTTAATCAGTTTATTGACAAACAATCTTTTCAATGTTTATAAGGTTAAATTAAATCCTGTCTCTTCTAGTATTACAATTTCACATCCTTCTGTCTTAATTGTTTTCAAGATCACTCTTATTTCTCCAGGTCAGTCAGGAGTTTGGTAGATTTAGATTTTTCCTCTGTGGTGAAGATGGACCAGGTGGGCTTGAATTTGTTGTTCTCGTAATCGTACCAAGACGAAATTCCGTCGACGGGTTGGACTCTTCTCTTAATGAGGTACTCGGTCTGAGCATCCACCCACTCATTAGTTACCGTGACGGGCTCGCTCTCCTTATCTGTTAAACAAGAAAAAAATTAAAATTTGTCCAAACATAGATTTTCTTTAATGCATATTTTTTTCCCACTGAGTCATAATTCCACAGAATCACAACTTCTGTTCCAAATGAGGAGTTAAAAATTGTGTGGATTTCTTGGATTGCTTTGTATGTCTTTAAAATAAACTTCAAGTATGCTTTCACAAATCTCTGTTGTAATTTTGTAATGGAATACAAGTTGAAGATTCAACACATAAATTCATTTATCTACATTTAACTTACTTGCTGCTCCGACTACACTCATGACAATCAAGACCAGACCCATCAAGACAGCATTGTCTCCCAGGCATCTCTTCCAGTCTCCTGAGGGAGCTTTGACTTCCTCCAAAGTGGAGTTAAAACTAGCTCTGTATACTGAAAATCAAACAGCAATATTATCACTAATGTGAAACAATATTTGCAAGAAAAATGCTATTTCTGAACTAATATTGCTTATAACAGATACAATCTACGAATACAAGTTTGTACTTTGATTTAATTATAAAACATTTATTTGTACTTTGTACATCTTTATTCATCCACATAAAAAATTGGTTAATACTTATTATTTGGGAAAACTGTTTCCCAAAGTCTAAACAAAGAGTAAAATTAAATAGAATTTGTTTTTTATGTATTGCTGCTTACAGGTTTTCTTTTCCTCCAGTGTTAATAATTTCCAGTCCCCCTTTTCCTTTTCTCTGAGTTTTCCGAGTGCCTCATCAACTTCCTTGAATCGGATAGCAGGGCATGGCTGCATAAATGAATCTGTATAGTATGGGACTTCTCCATATCCTACGATTTCTCTGTTACCTGTTTTCAAATAAAATTCCTTTAAAATTCAAAAATCCAAAAACCCCTTTATCATAAAAGTCTTTCCTAAATAACTGTTCATGGCCAGCAAGCAGATGAAATACTAGTATACAGCTTACGATTAACTTAAGAATATAACCTGGATTAATGGGAAATTCAAAATGCACCCACCTATAACAATGCTATATTCCTCTTTTCCTGGGTAGTATTCATGGCCTGGGAGGACAGATTTAGAACCAGTGGCATCCCGGGCAATAGATGTGAGGGCAATTTTCCTAGAAGGAGCCACCCAGATGGGCTGCTTAGCTAGAACACGTGGTGCACTCCGTAACAGATTGAATGCACTCATCTTATTTCTGAAAAGCAGGAAATGTGTTCATTAATTTTTTAAAGTCTTAATGTAAATAATTACAGATTGAGTCTATTTATTCATCGGATATTTATTTTTTTTTTTTTTTTTTTACTGAAGTAAGAAAATTCCTTGACACACTTAAAAGCTGTTGAACACTGACTAATAATTGAGATAATTTACAGAGTTTTTCAAGGGCCTGAACCTTCCCATTGGGGAAAAATAAAAAAAAAAAAAGTTTGAAATTGAGAAAAAAATATATTTAACATTTTTCTCAATAAATTCAAATAAGATCATTATTTTTTCTTATTCAAGATATTTATTGACTTATTTTATTTAACATTTCTAATTAAATTTTTTATTACCATTCCTAAAAAAAAAAATTTTTAAATATTAGTTTGTTTTGATTGTTATTTTTTTTCATTTGCAAAAAACACATCATTTGTACCATTTTTTACATTCCCTGTAATAATCAGTTTTTGGTAGCCATTAAATAGGTATTTAAACCTAAAGTAGCTATTTTTTGCTTTACACCATTTTGTGGCCAAAAAGCTGCTATACCAAATTTCTTGAGTTGATGGATATGACAAAATTTGGCTAAAAACTAATTACTTCATAAATTAACAATTTTGCATAGAAACTAATGTAAAATTGCAGATTTAGGAAGTATTCATTTTTTGGCCAAAATTTTGTCGTATTCATCATTAGTGTGACTGTATCAAAACATATGGTATTCACTATGTTGTGCTGTGTTCAGTCTTTTGGCCACAAAATGCAGATAATACAGAAAGTAGGTAAAAACAGCTACTTTGGCTAGATTTAAATACCTACGTAGCTATTAATAGCTACATAGGTAGAAATAGTCTTTGGACTGGACCTAAAAACAACATTTTTAAAGTTAAATTTTAATATATACACACACATTAACAATTTTGCATAGACTATGTAAAATTGCAGATTTGGCTGTTTTTATAAAATTTTGCTTTTCATTTGTGACTGTATCAAAACATATGGTATTCACTATGTTGTGCTGTGTTCATCTTTTGGCCACAAAATGCATAATACAGAAAGTAGGTAAAAACAGCTTTTGGCTAATTAAGGCTATTAATAGACGTGACAGTCTTTGGAATTCAAGATTTCAGTTTAAATTTTAAAAAACTTTTCCTTGTAAATACCATCACTACAATGGTAAATTGAATACGTCAAAATTTAAGTTAGATAAAAAAAATAAATTAATATTTTATAGATTGAATCTATTTGATTAATTTTTTAAAAGTTTAGTTTAAACATATACACATACAATGTCATATTCACATGCATAAGCATGTTGAAAATATAAAAGGGGTCCTGATTTCGCTATTTCAATTATCAGCTTTTCATTTTGCGACTGCTCCTTTGTGGGATTAGTGCTGACCTTTAGTTAAGGTTGATACACATGACAGAAGATTCAGTTAAAATTCAGGGAAAAAAATGTCTTAGTCACTAAGTTAGTGATATTGAATACAAGCTTAAAAGTGCTGTTTTTCCTAGTAATTTGTCAATTTTCTTAAGCACAAATCTAATTAATTCTTTTTTACGTTTTTTGTAATGACAATGATAACTAGGCCCCCTATTTTTTTTTTTTACAGGAGTATAAAATAATAATTGTCATCAAAATGATACACTTTTTGTCAATTGTGTTGATTTTAATATTCACGATTCAGTCACGTGCAATATCAAATTAATTACAAAATATTGTTATAAACAAAAGTAAAGTCAATTAAATTTTTGGAAAGATTCGACTTTTTTCAAGTTCAAAATGATTGAGTTTGCCGCTAAGGATATCAGAGGAAACTCGGAAGGAAGGTCAACACAAATCAAGAAATTTACAAACATAAGAAATCAAATATTGTTTCAAAACGATATAATTTGTAGAGGAAAAGTTATAGATTTTCACTACACTGCAAAAAATTACCATGTGAAGTCCTCCGCACACTTCGTCCACGGAAGGTTACTTCTGACTTCAAATTCTGGTCTTGCAAGCGCTTTTGTGACAAGATAGAAGCTAAAACCCCAAAAAGATATGGGTTTTTTTATGATACGTAATTTTTTTTAACTTAATCTCTGATTGGCAATATTGTGTTTAGAATTTTAATTGACAATATTGTGTTCTGAATTTATAATTAATCTCTCCTATTCGAAGTATCATTATTTAGGTTTTTTGAAAAATAAGAAAGGCGTCCTTTGTGACATTCATAATTTCTGCCACCATTCGTTAAATTTTTTAAAATTATAAGTATGTTGTTCTTGGGTTCATTATATAGAAATTTGCCGGTTAAAATGATTTTTTTTTCGATATAAATATATTTAAACAGTTAACAACTTCTAAACCACCATTCACAGCTATTAGTCTGACACAACGTCAAAGCGTTTGATTAACAATGATCAGAGGTAAAATGACGTTGGAACGGAGTAGTCACGTAGGGTGCTAGTATACCGCAGGGGAACGTAACGCTTGATCCAATCTTTCTTAGAATTTAATGTTTTTGTCAGTAACAGTATGTGATGTTTGGTCTTCTTAGAAATAGATTTTTGAAAATGAAAAGTGGACATTTTAGGAGCCATGTTTGGGATCCTAAACTACTTTGCTTACAAATAGTGGCAATGCAAAGCCAGTTTTACTTCATGTTTGGGATGTGGACTTACCTTATGGACATCATAGGAAGATTTGATGCGTCAATGGACCAGTTATTTACACAGACTGTAATTTTCTTTTGTTTTAAACCTATATTAATTTTGATATGTTGAAGAGATAAACTACTTGTATCTAATTCTAAGAACATCCCACAAGAAATTATTATTTTAAAGATAAGTAATTTACACAGAACACTGCCTGATAATATTAACTATAAGCAAAATTTCCTTTCAGGATCTTGACTTGCTTGAAGACTCGGGAAGAGTTCAAGTTATTGCTTTTCTTTTGAATAGCCTAACAAGGTAAATATTTATTATGTTGACGGTGCAACAGTTAGAGCAAGTGCAGATACTTACTCAGTTATATTTTGTTTTATATTGGTCTCAACAAAGGGCACATGCCTATTGCTATGCTTTGTGCTGCTTGCTGTGCTTGCTATAATATGAAACAATTGTGATTCATATTAAGGTAACTTGTGTTGTGGTAAGTTTGCTATTCTCTATTGAGAAGTTGATGGCTTGTTTTAATTCTCTCCTTTTAATAAGGTGGAGGGGGTATTAAAACAAGCAATCAACTTCTCAGTAGAGAATAGAAAGTTTGCAAGCCAACAACAAAAATATGCAATAATGAATGTAGCCAGTGGTAGAACATCAGAAAAATTATATTTTATTTTATTATTGGTCAAAATAAAACCTCACATGCCTATTGCTATGCTTTGTGCTGCTTGCTGTGCCCTTTAAAAACTTAAATATTTTGATTAATATGAAATAATTGTGATATTTTAAACTTTAAAATTAAAAAAAAAATTACAAATGTGTTTTTTTGTAAAAACGTGTGTTGTGTTGTATGTGTAGTTGATCTATCTCCACGTCATTTTTCTTCGTTCATAATTGTTTCAAATTCTATATAACTATCGAAAATTTTTTTACGTGAATATAAATTTTGTAATGCTTAAAAGTCATCGATGGCTGTTAAATCCCGTCGTTGCCGGTGGGTTATAACCTTCTCTCCTTTAAATTTTGATATATTATTTGTTAATAGTTAAATTATTTCATAAAAATGAGACATATATGTACAGTAATCTACCGGTATTAAATCCGTACACTTATATATATTTTTAAACAAATGAAAGCAATGTAATTTAGTTTTCATATAAGCAGAATTATTTTCTGAATGTTGTCAATTTACATGCCGAATATTTTAAATTCATTGATTTAAACTTTTAAGTTTAATATGCTATAAGCATTTCATAGTTTTGCTTATTTGGTGTATTAAATTATACTTCCAAATTAAAATAAAAAATAAATAAAAATCTCTTTTATTTGTAAACCTAATGAATATGAGGTGTAAATAATAAAGTGTACCACTTGTACTTCTGTCATGTTTTCTTCTTCTTCTTTTTAAATATTTATCAAGACATACCGTTTAAAATTTTGTCAACAAATTAAAAGAGAAAAAAGACAATCTGCTTATAACAACGGTTCAATAATTTATTATTTGTTTTTTAATTTTTGTCAAAAAACACAGTTTTATAAATAAAATTTATCATAAATTGTCATAAAATGACCATTAGAAAAATTCCATTTCGAAATATTACAGTTACACACAACATATATAGTTACACACAACATATAGAGGACACATAGACAGACATTTAGACATATACGGTAATTAAAACATAATAGACTTTACTTTAGAATACATTTCATAAATTTTTCTTACCGGGACACACACAAAAATCACAAATATTACTGTATAGAATAAATGGCTCGACATCTAACCAGTTTGACGGCTAGGCTAAGAGTGCCTGATGTTAGCTTGTGCAAGGGGGAATTCATTGAATAGTAAAAAGTCATGTGACTGTCCGTCTAGTGTCTAAAAATAACAACTACCTCATTCACACAATGTCTTTCATACCACATTCTCACATATACGCAGCGCAAGTATAGTGTAGCATTGAATAATAATATATAACCCTGGTTACATGAATCACATAAATGACAACCAACATGGAACCCTGGAATCAGTTACAACATGTAAGTTGACCCTCTCTCACAGGAAGGCTGATGAACTTTCTAGGTAGTAAAATGATTAAAACCCTATTTCTAATAATTATTTTAACTTTAACAAAGATTCTGCTTTAACTAAAGGTGAAATTTCTGTTAAGACATCTTTTGATTGGACATACTAGAATTTGCTATGTATTATGTAAAATGATCTTTTTACCTACATAATCTGCCAAGGCATTGCTTTTATCCATTGCATTCTCACCATTTCTTTTGGGATCTCAGCAATCTGTTCATTAATACCAAGTATTCAAGGCTGCTAAATGAAAATTTAAATTCTCTCAAGGTGAAAATGAGAAATACTGATGGCCATACTACAGTCACAGGGGCCGGTAACATACCGTATAAGATTTTACGTAATCACTATATGTAATCAAAAAGAGTCTCTTTTTGTATACATATAGTCATTATGTAAAATCAAAACAGTAATGGCCATACTACAGTATATAGGGAAATTTTCACTCCCGTTTTATTTTTGCTCTTTTCACCCTACCCTCATATGGGTGAATTTAAAACAGGGCCATTTCAAAGAATACAGTATAATTTCTTAAACAAAACTATGACTGGGCAAATTTAAAACGGGGCAAAATTGTTTGCAAGTATGAAAGGGCAAAAATAACACTGGGCGAAAATAACCCTGTATACAGTATAATCTTTGAAAAGAATCATGTCACTTAAGCCTTTGGGTAGGATGAACAATAAAAATGGGTTCCTGCATTGAAAACAAATTACCAGTACATTTATATCAATTTTTTTTACAGTGCTGTAGCTTTATGGTACATTGTCCAAAGAGCGAAACTTTGTTTGGACTTTGCAGTGACAGCGCACTTCTTTCACTTCTTAGGCTGCTGGATATTTAATCATCACATTCCACAGACTCTCCCTTGGTGGATTTTGAATGTGATAGGATGTGCTTTAATGACCGTGTGCGGTGAATTCTTGTGTATGAGAACAGAAATGAAGGCCATTCCTCTAGCAATGGCAGGGGCCAAAGTGGATTTGTAAATATCATTCATATCCACAAACGTTGTCCTTGTGCATTCTGTATGACAAAAATGTTCATAATCATGCTATCATTTGAACAAAAAAAATTTTCATCTTGATCACCTATATTATTTCAAGTCAAGTAAATGATATTGACATACCATTTCTTGTTATAGCTCTTGCAGTTAAGAATGTAGAAGCTTGATTGATAGATATAATCCATCTATTTTTCAAAGTTCTTTTAAACACCTATTGTAAAGTATGTATGTTAACTTCATGGTTTATTTATGTGCCCAGCACCTTCTAAACTAATGATGTTTATGACTGTTGTTTAAGCATACACCATGTTCAGTTTTTCATCTGTGCTTTTAAACAATATTAAACTGAGAATAAAGACTTGAAAAAGCAGTACTTTTGATTTCCATCTTCATCCTGATTGCCAGACTTTTCAACATTTTATTAAAGGCTTATTATACTGACATACTGTAATAGCACAAATATTTCTTTGGGGATTAAATTTCTTTTATTTCGTTGTTAAGAATTATCAGCGAAATTAAATCCCAGACGAAATTTTTATCTGAATATATTTTGTATAAGGTTCCTTTTGAAATAACGTAATTTAATGCCCATGCAACTTTTTTTAGATCATTTGAAAAATCAATGAAATTTGATCCTCATGAAAATTTGTGTTTCTACAGTAGCTAGATTTCAGTCATTTAGAGGCATTTTTTTTCTTTGGCAGGTACATGTACATTACCCATTTAATGAAGGTTTCTAGTATTGGCAATTGGTCAACTACATGTACCTATTCAGCTCAAGTCCAAATTATTATAATGAAACACTTTAGTCTAGAATTATTCCTCAATATTAAAATGTATAATGGTTTTGGCCGTGGATATCGGCCTGGATAGCTCAGTTGGTAGAGCACCTGACTGGAGATGCAGAGGTCCTGGGTTCGATTCCAGCCATACATTTCTCCTTTCCTTTTGCACATGAAATGGCAATAAAGATTATACATTTCTGTCAATGATTTTCCCAAAGATTTTGAATTGTTTCCCTCTCATCTGCTGGGTTTACATTTACCTTTGAAAATAGGTGGACCAACAATTTCGTAGTCAACATGAAAGTTTTAACCCAGCAAGATGTTTCTGTTGACAAAAATGGCATACAAGCTTTTTCTGCCTTTAAAGTAAATGCACCTGTTCAAAACCAAGACTTTAACACTATCACAAACTTGTTTCCATACATATAGTATTGAGAAGATAAGAGAATATTAAAGTACTGGTTCTCAGTTTTATTGAAATTCTCTTAATATAGTGGTTAGACAACAACTGTTAAACTTGGTACATAAATTAATTTATCTATTATACAATAACATGCAAAGAAACAGTTAATAAAGATAGAGTTCATTATGCAGAAACTCTTTGTATTACAGGTTGTTTTAATTCAGTTCTATCATGATTAATATTTAAGCAAGAACTGAAATATTAAAGTCTTAATAATAATGAAATAGCATCTAAGTACACCACACAAAGCAAAATTAACAATTCAGCCCCTGATTTACATTAATCCCTGTTGCTGAATACACTTCACAAGATACAGTGTACTAATTTTACTACTGTTTTAAATATACAATGTAAGATGGTACATATGTATTCTACAGGAAACATGGAACAAGATTTTGAAATCCAACATAAAAACCACAGGATAGGAAATGCACAAATACATTTATCTCATCAAAACTTCCATAGTTCTGCAAGGTTTGCTGAGTATTTCTTTGGGCCTTCCACCACTACTAAACGTCAATTTTAATCCAACACATTTAAAAAGAAAACTTCAATGGTCAAACTACAGCACTAGTTCTTCATAAGATGGCCCCTCTGTTTCGGTACCGTCCCGTCGGAGTTTTAAATGTTCAACAGTATTCTGAAAATGTTTGTTGATCTGCTCCGTTTCTTCATTTGCTTCTAAATTGGGTAACGATTCTTTGATTTTTGCTATCAGCTGGTTCAGAACTTGAATTGTTACCTGAAATGAAAAAAAAAATTCTGATTAGCGAATATGATAAAGGTAAGGGTCTGGTTTTGTAAATATTTTAAAATATTTTGGATGGAAGAGTAAAATAGTTTAATCTGATAGCTCTAATACATACCTGATCATTGCCTTTTTCATAGTAGTATATATAGTGATTGAGAAGTTCCACAAATAGCTGGACTTGGACGGAATTGTCCATGCACTGATTGGCTATCTTCACTCCTTTCTTAAGACAGTCTGACACTCTCTTCCCATCTTGAAGCTAGGTAAAAAGAAGTACATGTTTGAACTATGGTTGTAAGTTCAAAATGAGATGAAGTAACCATTAAAATACTTATTAAGAAAATAAATTGAATAAGTTAATAATCCTATAGAAACTGAAAATAGAAATATACCAAAACCATCTTTTATTTGCAGCTATTTATTCACGATTTGTCGGTTTGAAAAGTGTCTATAACAACATTTTTTGGAACTGGGTACATGTATATAAATACTTTATACAAGTAAAGAAAGATAGAATCTATTTTTTTTCTCTTGCTATTAAATTTGTTGACAAATGCCTGAATATGTCTAATAAAATTTTACTCTTGAACATCAGTTAACCCATAGATCACACAGCATTAAGATATTTCTCTCCTGACTTACCTCCCCTTCTTGTGCAGTGGATTTCCCAGACCAGAAGAGATGTGAGCACGTGCAGACCCCTCTGCACTGATCCGGCTTCTTTAGGAGTTTGGATGCAGCCAGGGCACACTGAGTCCTGAGGGGCTCGTGATTCTCATCCCCAAAACAGCTCATCTGTTCCAGGGTCCCGATGATTAGCGTAATGGCTGCCAGCTGTGCTTTGCTGTCACTGATTTCATCCTCGTACAAAGAAAATGCCTGAACAAAAATGATATAAAAAGTCTTTATAATCTCATCATATTTAGATACACATTTATATTTAAAAGAAATCTAATGAGACTAGGTCTAACTAAATTTATGATTTTTTTTCATCTAGTAAGTTATATTCAAGTTTTACAAGAATCAGTCCAAAACTGACAGAGTAATATTTTAGGTAGTAAAAAGTTAACAAACATATACATAAATAAGAGACATTTTACCATCACAATGTCATATAAGGACTTTTAATCTTTGACTAAAGCTAAACATAGGTAATCAGAGATTAAAGAGCTCACCTCAACGAATGTTGTCTTTAAGTAAGACAAAGTCACACAATTACCCAACAAAAAAGTGTACATACAAAAATGCAAAATTTATGCAAATTTGATCTGATACTTTAGAATAGACCTATATAAAAACTTCATCAAGAAAATGTGATCAAAATCCAGCATCTGAAGCAAGTTTAAGAGTTTTCATCTCTTGATGCATCATTTGGGCAAGTTTGGCGTATTTAAGCCTTATAGTTTCTTGGTGATATATCTGCACCCATAACTTTTACCTGGTCCATTATCTGGAAAATGAATGTCAAATTCAGCATCCGGAGCAAGTCCATTAGTATGCATCCTAAGATGTATCATCCATGCATTTTTGCACAACATAGGGCTAACTGTTACATAGAAATGAAACCTGCATAAAAACTTGACCACTTCACTGATCCAGAAAAAAATGTAGGTCAGATTCAGCATTCAAAAGCCAGCCTGGTAGAATGCAACCTTAGATGTATCATCCATGCAAGTTTGGTCATTAAAGAGCTCACAGTTACTTGGAAATGAATCCTGCATCAAAAACTTTAACCCGTTCACTCATCCAGAAAATTTAGGTCAGAGTATGCATCCTAAGATGTATCATCCATGCAAGTTAAGTCATTATAGGGCTCATTCTAACTTGGAAATGATACCTGCCCAAAAAATTTTAACCTGTTCATTTATCCAGAAAATGTAGGCCAGATTCAGCTTCCGAAGCAAGTCTGGTAGTATGCATCCTAAGATGTACCATCCATGCAAGTTTTGTCATTATAAGGCTCATTGTATCTTGGATATGAACCCTGCATCAAAAACATTAACCTGTTCACTCAACCGGTAAATGTAGGTCAGATTCAGCATCCGAAGCAAGTCTAATAGTGCACATCCTTAGATGTATCACCCATGCAAGTTTGGTCAACATAGGGCTTATAGTTACTTGGAAATGAGACCTGCACCAAAAACATTAACCTGTTCACTCAACCGTAAAATGTAGATCAGCATCCGAAGCAATCCTGGTAATGTGCATCCTTAGATGTATCACCCATGCAAGTTTGGTCAACATAGGGCTTATAGTTACTTGGAAATGAGACCTGCACCAAAAACATTAACCTGTTCACTCAACCGTAAAATGTAGGTCAGATTCAGCATCCAAGCAATCTTGGTAATGTGCATCCTTAGATGTACCATCCATGCAAGTTGGTCAACATAGGGCTTATAGTTACTTGGAAAAGAGACCTGCACCAAAAACATTAACCTGTTCACTCAACCTGAATATGTAGGTCAGATTCAGCATCCGAAGCAATCCTGGTAATGTGCATCCTTAGATGTACCATCCATGCAAGTTTGGTCAACATAGGGCTTATAGTTACTTGAAAATGAGACCCACACCAAAAACTGCACCAAAAATGTTAACCTGCTCAGAAAACATCAACCTGGTCATTCCTTTGCTGAAATTACAGCATCTGAAACTTTGACTGGTACAATGAAACACATTAGAAGCATCTTCAATGCATGTCTAATCAATATAGGTCATAGAAGTACTTCAAAAGAAAACTGCTCCAAAAAACTTAACCTTGACCTGGGATGCCGACGCCGACACCAACGCCAAGGGTATTACATAAGCTCCCCCAACTTCGTTGAGGTGAGCTAAAAAGCAGAAATACCTGATAAAAGAAAAACACACAAATTTTAAGGACTCATACCTGTGACATAAATTCATAAGCGACTGTTTCATGATTTTCAAACTCTATTTCCCCGGCCGTCAGTGCTCCCTGGAGAAAGAGTCGGAGTGGCATCTCCGCCATGTCTGCCTTTATCAGGGCTCCTATTGTCTGGTGACAAAACTGGAAGATCTTCTGACATTTCTTCTCCCAGTTTTCATCCTACAACAAACAATGATAGACAAAATATACTGTAGACTTTTTATTGGGTTGGGATTTTTTTTTTTACACTTTGTTAGCAGTCACCAATTTTTCCATGGAAATTTGTTATGAAAAATAACAACATTTCAAGAAATCTACATAATTTCCTACCTGCAGATTAAAACTATGATTCCGTGGAAATATGACACAGTCAAAAAAATAATGTTTACAATATTTTTCATACTATGCATTTAGCTTAAGAAAATTGCATTGTTTGTACATGAAGCAAACTAACCTCATCTCTAGCTTCATTATATCTCATGGCTAG